AAAGATAAGATTTACGTGAGTTTTACTCTATCTCTATTTCTAAGGGATGAAGGTCTATTTGTCGAGGGGAAGAACCACAAAGGAAAGGTTTGTTTCCTTGAACACTGTCTTTGTGATGAGGATCGTTGCACTCCGTATCCAGGGTAACCCTTGCCCTCCTCTCTGAGGAAGTGATTGTGTGGCCCAGATAGTCAGACAAGGTTATGATCAGGCCACAATACCTTAGACCAATTTAAGTGGAGTCGACACCTCATATTGAATCCCATGGTGCATCTAGGACTCATCACTATCTCAAGGACATTTTGCAAGGATTTTGACAAGCTGGTTTCCTTCTTTTCCGTCAGCCTGATGCAATGAGCAAAAAAGAATGCATCAGTATAGGTAACTTGGCAGCTGTCTACACATTTGTGGACATTGTTGCCCATTATCATTAGGAATATGGTTACTTCTATATTTTGTGCCACTCCTATTCAGCCATAGGAGCACCAGTGATCTCAGCTTGTAGAGCCCAGATCCTTTATTTTTTGTGAATTGGCTCAATCAATGAGTAAGCTGAATAATAATAATAATCCTTACATTTGCATTGCATCTTTCACATCAGAAGGACATGTCAAAGCGCTTCACAGGATATATTGTAAGCTGCAGTGACTTTATCTATTGTGGGTGAATCTGTGCTTCTCATGGAAATCATTGTATTTCAAGTTGCCAAGAGGGGAAAAGTTATTCTTCTGAACGTATCTGTTAAGACTTTATGATGTTCCTAACGTCTGCACTGTGAAGGAATGAAACGCCATATTGCCAGACGAACAGTTTATGATGAGTAAGCTTTTCAGGACACAGATCACAAGCTGTCAAAGTCACAAGAGTATAAAGGCATACTAGCCCAGTGCATCTCATCCTTCCCAAATACTCACCCTCCTTCCCATGAATCCACCTGATGTTGTAATGGGAAGATGTGAAGTAGGTGGCACCATCCAATGGGGTTCGGAACATCATACAGTCTTAACAAATATGGGTATCAGTCTTGTGCTGTCCTGCACTTTACCTCTTGGGCGTGGGTGGCCTCTTTCTTTCATGTTGTTAGAATTCTATTCATGAGTTTGCCAAAGGAGGTTTGGATGAAGATCCATCACCCCATTGGATGGTGCCACCTACTTCACATCTTCCCATTACAAAATCAGATGGTTTCACAAATGAGTCCAGGGTCCCGGCTGCAACCATACTTCCCGATAACACATAGAATTGTACAGCTTGAGTATGATGGCTTGGTATTTGAATGCAATGCTTCCAGTTGCCCAAGATTTTGACTCACTAAATAATTCAGAGACACAATCCCTTGATACATTATACAAAGGGATTTTCAATTTAACTCTCAAACCTGTTGAAACTCTTGTCTTTAAAAAAAAACACATAACTCATTTCAGCCAAAGACATTTTCTATTTCCAAGAAGATCAAATGAAGGATATTTTCTTTCTGGACCTTGTTTCACTGCCAAAGACAACAATATATCAATGGCTTGAACCATTGGTCTCTATCACTGGAATCAAGTCTGGGAACCAGCAGAACACTGACTTACTCTTAAGGGTTGCCAGAGATCACAACAAGACTAAATTAGGATTTCAATCTTCTCACAGTCTATTTCATATTCAGGGATTTAGATGTGAAGATTTAAAAGCAAACAATTCCACTCTGAATCATTTTAAAGCCACCAGAATATTCCATGATGACTAAAAACGAGCTGCGGTATAAAATGATGGTGAACCACACGAGAGGTTTGGATAAAGATGGTCCTTCAGTCCAAGATCCCGGCCGCAACCATCCTTCCAGAAAACCCACCCGACTATTTTTCCATAATAGCACCAATCTTATTTTTAAAATGAATCTCAATGTCCTGGCCTCAACCATCCTTCCTGTTAACCTTGCTCCAATCATTAATTACCCTCTACGTTAAGAAAGACATGTTCTGAAATTGTCCTTTGCAACCTTAAATCTGTTTCTTCTTGTTCTGCTATTTTGGCATATCTGAAAGTATTGTTCTACTTTCTCAATCCCATTTAGAGTCTTAAATCTCACCCTAAGGTCCTTCTGCGACATCTTTTTTCAAGGTTGCAGAGACATAACTTATCTAATCATTGCTCATTGGGGATCATCCTTGTTGCTCTCCTCTGAACTGCATCGAGGGCCTGTTATTTGCAAACACTTGGACTTTCTAACTTGGCCTCCTAAGAACATGGATTTACCATCAATTCAGGAGGATTCTGGCTTCATCTTTGACTTAAGATCACAGAATATACAATCGTAGAATATTACAGTACAGAAGGTGGCAAGTCGGCCCATCTTGCCTATGCCGGCTCTTTGGAAGAGCTACCTAATGAGTTTCACTCCCCCGCTCTTTCCCCATAACATTACCTGGGTTCGATTCCCGGCAGGGCGAAACCTTGGGCAAGTTTCCTTACTCCACACGACTAATAATAATCTCTCCAAAAAACAAAAACAATAATAAATTGGTCATTTTCAATCCTTGACTGTTTGTGGGACACTGCTCTGCGCAATTGGCTGCCGCGTTCGCCCACAAATATACTGTCAATTCACTTTACAGTATATTCTGTGAAGCGCTTTGGGACGTCCTCCCGTCGTGAAAAGCACTATATCAAATGCAAGGATTAGTTAGGATTATTGCATGCTTTTCCTTTTCAACTCCTTATCCAATTCCCTTATAAAAGCTGTTATTAAATCTGTTTTCACCACCCTTTCAGGCCATGCATTCCAGACCATAACAACTCTCTGTGTAAAAAAAAGAAGTCTCCTCATCTCCCCTCTGGTTCTTTTGCCAATTTTCTACATCCCCTGGTTATTGACCCACCTACTAGTGGAAAAAGTTGAACACCACTAATAAATCTCCCCTTAACTTTCTCTGCTCTAAGGTGAACAATCCCAGCTTCTGTCATCTCTCCACATAGCTAAAGTCCCTCATTCCTGGTAGCATTCTGATAAATATCCTCTGCAGCCTCTCCAAAGTCTTGATATCCTTCCTCATTGATGTTCAACAATGAGATGTATAAAACGCTCTTCTGGGTTCATTCACTCCAGCATTTTTTTTCACAGGTTTAGCTACCTTTGACAGACTTAAACTACAAAGCATTCAGTGTTGCTGCTGAGGCTCTTCTCAGGGAAATATATCCAACCGATTTGATCATCTCTTCTAATAGTCATTTTGCACCAGCAAAATGTGTGTGCTTTAGTGGTGTGCTAGTAAATAATGACTATTTCTGAGATCCACATCCAAAGGGTAGTTTCACATGAGGTCTGTAACCCCTTAATTACATGTTCCTAGTAAGAAAGGAGCCACTACTTTTTGTACCTAAGAAATGATTGGCAGATGAAATAGGCTTGGCATATTATCTTAGTGATACCCTAATTTTCCATTTCACCTACAACGATAGGAAATTTTACATTTGCATTTCCAAATATTAAGGCCACTGCAGTAGTTAAAAGGATGATCATACGTTTTGGTGGAATGCCATTTTCTGTTCATGTTTTTCTTCTATTTCATCCTCTCCCCTGTAAATTTTAGGGGTGTGGTTCTTATCTTAACAAGATACTTATTGGTAATGCCTTGGATGAGACCACTGTCTCCTGTGTGTTCTAACTAGCATCCTCCATTGAAGAACCAGGATTATTTCAAAGGGTATGAACCATTCCTTAATAGCACACAAGTTTTATATAGAATCAATTTTGTGTTTTTTTTAAAAGGATTTCTTAAGAACTCTATTTGGGTATTTGGAATTATGTCACACCATCACACCATCTGAAGGACAAGGGAGAGGAAAACCGTCTAGGGTTCCTGCTGCTGGTCTCTCTACCAGCAGTGTGCATGTGCAGCCACGTAAGGAGAGGTCAGAATTGTTAATAAATGTAGAGGGTGTTTTTACACAAAAATTATACTGTACAAAATCAAGGTTAAAACAACAATTTGCATTTTAGTGCCCTTCATGCGAGGCAGTTTCTCGGAGCGCTGATCAATGATAAGCTTTGACGCTGAGCTGGGGAGAAAGAGGAGGTGATTGTAGACATGGTCGGAGAGGAAAACCTTTAGATACGAACTGAAGACAGGCAGGAGGATGCAAGGCAGAGGCAGGGCATGTAGAGGTTCGGCGAGTAGTGGTTGAAGGTACGGGCACCGATAGAGCAGCGTAAGGGTCGTGCAGAAGGCTTCAGATGGCTGAGTAAAGGGGGTGGGTAGAGGAATGAAGTGAGAGCAGGTCGGAGAGGTAGGTGCTAGGGTATTAAAGGATTCATAGGTGAGTGCAAGGATCATAAAATCTATCCAAACCAATTCAAGTATTGCATGTTTAGAAGGGCATATGAGTGATCATATTGTTAAATCACCAGAAACCGAGTATAGAACTTACACAATACAAGTTTTGTATCTTTCACGTTGTGACCGCTGGTGTTCTGTGATCTTGAGAGAATGGGAACATTGTCTAAAATCATCTACGGATACGAATTGGTCTAGTGCATCATAGGCTGGTCAGTGACATTGGGATGGTACACCCATCACATCTGCATTTATTTCAGTGACTTGAGGAGCTGTTTAGATATTAGAACCTTATCAAAACATGAATATCTAGAACACTGTTTCTTAATGTTTTTGACAATTTCTTGTAAAATATGGCAGACCATTTATAAATGTCAGGCCACTTAATCTAATGAAATCTTCGGTCATGATTGTATCATGGACTGGGCAGGGCTGTTCCTGATCCTTGTATTGGGCGGGTTCAGTTTTAGAGTGGGGCGGGACTAGTTTTGGACCAGGTGGAGCCAGTCCTTGAGAAACACTGGTATAGAAAGGGATGATTTTGAATTTTAAAAATCTTGGTTTAGAGGACGCCAAGGTTTATTATTTTTGGAACAGTAAATAAATCTGAAAGCGTATTATTGACTGAATGTGAAATATGAACTGTTTGCAGAAACCAACTAACCTAATGTTATGTTCTAGTTCAAGCCACCAGGAGAGACATTGTGTTCTTGTTTGATGGCACCTCCAGCGTGGGAAAGTCGAACCGGGACTTTATTCTAAAAATAATTAACAAACTCAATATTGACCCGGATGCTGTGAGGGTTGGATTGGTGCAGTACAGTGACAACCCTAGAACAGAATTTAACTTAAGCACCTATCAAACGAAAACCCAGGTACAGCGACATCTACGGAATCTCAAGCCGAAAGGAGGTCAAGATTTGAATACTGGTGCTGCTCTGGACTATGTTTTTAGAAACCATTTCAACAGCTCTGCAGGAAGCAGGAAAGAGCAAGGTATCCCACAGATCCTTGTGCTGCTCACTGGTGGAAGGTCCATAGATGATTTTAGACAAGCAGCGAGTGCACTGAAGCAAGATTCTATCATGACCTTTGCTATTGGATCCAAGAATGCAGACCAGGCAGAGTTGGACGAAATCGCATTTGAACCCTCTTTGGTCTTCAATGTAGGAAGCAAACTTCTGTTTACTATTCAGAAACAAGTGCTGGGGATGATAACAACAATATCCATCCCAGAAATAGCCATTCGTCCAGATGTTATTGTCACGCCAGGTAACTGAATTATGTGCATTGTTCCATGTTCCACTAATAGTATGCTTTGTAATTATGTTAAAAGAAATAGCAACAGTTTTACACAGTTCAGCACAGTCGATTGCACCATCTTCCTCCACCGTCTCTCCTCCATCATCCACCTTAATGGGAAAGCACTTGCATGGTTTGAGTCCTACTAACAGTACATTTCGGCAAACGTTTTTTCCTCTCGCCCCCACCCAGTCTCCTGCGGGGTACCGCAAGGCTCCATCCTTATCTACTTTTCCTTATCTACGTGCTCGCTCTCGGCAATGTCATCTGCAGACATGGGGTCAACTTCCACATGTATGCGGATGGCACCCAAATCTACTTCTCCTCCAGCTGCGACTCCCAGTCTGCTGATGTCCTGTCAGCTTGCTTGAGCACAAATTTCTTGCAGCTGAGTGTCTCCCCCAGGTCTGAACTCCTGAACCTCCACAGGCTGTCCCTTAGACTCACCAAAACCATGCACAACTTAGGCATCAGGTTCGATTCCCAGCTTTCCTTTCTACCCCACATTTGTTCCCTGACCAGGAACGCTTTTTTCTATCTGTGTCACATTGCCTGCCTCCATCCATACCTCATAACCAATGCAGCCGAAACCCTTATCCACTCCTTTGTCACTTCCCGGCTCGACTTATTCCGATGCCCTCTGCACTGGTCTCCCCAGCTCCACCATACACAAAATTCAATTAATTCAAAACTCCGCCGCCCGGATACTCACCGACACAAAACTCTGTACCCCCCATCACACCAATCCTTGCCAGGTTTTAGACAAGCAGCGAGTAGTATCCATACCAGACAAAAGAGCATATGGTTGACCAAAAAAAGTAGTTTTTAAAGATACATCAGGTATTGACTAGTGCAAGCTTTTCATGACAATGCAGAGGGCTTCTTGTTAGGAAAAGTAGAAGTTTGCTCAATGCTGCACATTTCCAGTGAATGGACATCATTATTGATGCAATGTAATAGTCCTTTCATTTTCTGTTGCCACAGGAATGAGTAAGAGAGACATTTTCCTCCTGATCGATGGATCCAATAATGTTGGCAATGTAAATTTTCCTCTTGTCCGCGACTTTATCCAGAGGATAATTGAGAACCTTGATATTGATGATGGTGTAGTGCGAGTCGGTGTGGCACAGTACAGTGATAACACAAATGTTGAATTCTATTTGAACTCCTACTCAAAAAAGTCTGAAGTTCTGAATCATGTAGAAAGACTCAGGCTGAAAGGGGGCTCCACTCTCAACATTGGGAGTGCCATGGATTTCACCTTTAAAAATCTTTTGATCAACTCTACGGGAAGTAGGAAAGATGAAGGAGTTCCCCAGATTCTGGTGGTTTTCACTGCTGGCAAGTCAAGTGACAGTCTTACTAATGTCAAACAAGCATTGATGGAAGGTGGCATAATCAGCATTGGTGTAGGAGCCAAGAGAGCAGACCTAGAAGAACTGAAGCTCATCGCATTTCACAAAAGTTTGGTGTTTAAGGTGAATGAATTCAGTGCGCTACAAAATATCCGGCAACAAGTGGAGGGGAAAGTACAAACAATCGCAGGCACAGAACATTCAGGTACAGTAATTGCTTTTCACACACACTGGGCTCATCTCCTACGCTTGTGATATTATTTAGGGTGAATGAAATGGAATTTACCTCATAAATGATAGCAGCAGTCATAATTTTGCAGCATACCTCTGCCATACGAGCTGTCTTGTATTATGTCTGCAAATTTGATCAACTGTTTTTCTGGCTCTTCCTCCCAAACACAATTTTAACATAGAACCGTAAAGAGCCAGGTCCCAGCACTGAACTATGGGACATTCCCACCAGCCACTTCCACTCTGGTGATACTCCAGAAATCACACTTCTTTACCTTATTTCCAAATGGAAATGCAAGCATTATTATTCTATGATCCATTTTAGATGTTCCCCTTCCTTGTGGCTTCAAGAAGCAATCTCTCAATGTTGCACCTTGTTAATGGTCTTGCTAAAATCCAAACTCTTTAACCTCAAGAGGCAATCTCTCACACAGCACATTGTCAGTGACTTAAAAATATCCAAATATCCAACATTCATTGATTTCATCTTATCTAGTTATCTTGTCATGAAACTCCAATAAATGAATAGGCTTGAATTTGCCTATTTACCCTCCTGTAGTCACCATTACCTTATTCAGCAACATAATGGGCATCACCATGCTGTGAGAATGCTGTCGGGAGGAGGTGAGGAGGCTGCCTCTGGATCATTCAGTGTAAAAAGCAGGAGATTTAAATTTATTTTGAGTTTGGCATCTGCATTTTAGAATAAGTTGATGACAATCTGTTAAATCCACTTCATTTAGTTTAATTTTGACACTACCTTGCACTCTGTCTGCCCTAGAGCTCAAATCCCATCTAATCTTTGCTTTAAAATTAAGAGTTAATATTAAGACTTGTGGAGAATTCTTCAATTTAATCTTAATTTGCAAAATTAATCTGCAGTTCCCCCAGTTCTTAAAAAAAAGACTTGCAAAAATGGAGTTTAGGAATTTTCCACAATTCTGTACCATCTTAAATTTTAAACCAAATAATCATTCATGCTAAGGCTATGAGGAATTTCAACTCTCCTGTGAACTAATCTCTAATGTTTGCTCGCCTTCAATAGTTAAAGTGACATTTATTTGCACTTAATGTTTTTCTCATTATATTTTGCACCCTGCAGTCAGGCTGAGAGATATCGTCTTTATGATCGATGGCACGCAAGCAAATGGAAGAGGATTTATTCAAATCTGTGACTTTGTCATTGAAGTCATTCAGGAGCTAGAAATTGATAACGGCAACGATCGAGTTGCAGTGGTGCAATACAGTTCTGACCCCAGACTTGAATTTGGATTAACTGACCACTCCGGAAAAAATGAAGTCATTACTGCAATAAGAAACCTCAAACTGAAAGGGGGAACAACTCTCAACACCGGAGTGGCACTGGAGTATGTCAACAAGAACATCTTTATCCCATCATCTGGCAGCCGACGCGACTCTGGAGCTAGTCAAATCTTGATACTGTTTGCTGGTGGGAAGTCCAAAGATGATGTTAGGTTGGGAGCAAATGAACTCAAAGTCGCCCAAGTAGTAACCACTGCTATCGGTGCCAGGAGAGCAGATGTAGCAGAAATTCAGATGATTGCATTAACACCCGAATTTGCCTTCTTACTAAGAGACTTCCAGGAACTATCAAGTATTCAACAAGCCCTGATAACAAACCTTAGGACAATAATTGTGATTGAGCAAGCTGCTGATGGTAAGAGCCTTTGACAAACTAATGCCCCTTTTTTTGGTTAGCTGATACACTTAATCATGGTGGTGGATTTTTGCATGTGAAACTTGTGTAGAAACCCATCACTATGCTTATGAGTATTCAAACCAAACTGAGAAGTCCATGCATCCCACCTATACATGGAAATTCTACAGATAGATTGTTGGAATGGAATGCATACTCGTTTCCTGTATGTACTCATCCAGCTTACCTAATTCTGGAAAGTATTAGGCCCAGATTGGCAAGAGGCAAGGCTTGGGGACCCCACAGTGTACGATGGGGTACCGCTGGAATCTAACCAGCTAAAGCTGCATAGATTGCCATTGATAGCACCGCCTGGCATGCTTTCCTGTAGCTTATCCAGCTAGGACCATTCTACAGCCACAAAGTGAATGATCCAATTTAATATCTGCGGGATTGTTGACCAGCACACCAGGAGAAACTCTGTTCTATTTTTGAACAATGCCATGGGATATTTACCACCCATCTGAACAGACGGGAACTTGGATAAAGCTCTCATCTGAAGGTTGGCGCCTCCGACAGTGGAACACTTCCACACCACTGCACTGGAGAGTCAGCCAAGATGATGAGCTCAGAGTCTTGTAATGCTTGAATTAAGAAGTTCTCAGAGGTTCACTCAACTCAATCTGTTCACTCAATTAATTTAGCTCTAACCAAACCTTGCATTAGAATTTAATAATTTCAGAACAGAAGATAGCAATTTGCACCTATGCAAAATGACAATGTGGGACTTGCGCCTGATTGCAAAAGGTTCACAAATTCAGAATTGATAAAGGGATTGATGAGAGTTTCTGTTTACATCTTAAACTACTTTGGAGTTATTCCGATCACAGAGAGAAAAATGCTGAAGTATGCTTAACTTAACATGGAGTCCTGCAACTCAGTTGTTAGAGCACTCACCACGCAAGCTAAAGACTTGGGTTCGATTCCCAGCAGGGAGAAATGTTGGGCAAGTTTCCTTCCTCCATACGCCTGTGTTTACCGAGCAGTAAATAGGAATCCAATTTTTAGTCGATGGGCGGAATGCTTTTCCGGGGGTAATAATTCCTTCAAAAAAAAAAATAAATTGGTCACTTCAATCCACGACTGTTCGTTGGACAATGGTGTGCACAATTGGTTGCTGCATTTCGCCCATAAAATATACAGTCAATTCACGTTACAGTATACTCTGCGAAGCGCATTGAGACGTCTCAAGGACATGATAAGGCCTCTATATCAAATGCAAGGATTACTAATAGCATTGACATAATCCTAATCCCGGTGTCGACCCCCAAATAATATTGGCCATTCCTTTCGTGACTGATATTGGAACTTTGCTGTGTGCAAATTAGTTGCTGTGTTTCATCTACAAAATAGAGTCACTGCAATTTACAGGAAATCCTGTGAAGCACTCTAAAATATCGTCCGTATGTGAACGATAATAACAATAATCTTTGCATTTGATATAGCACTTTAACATGTCGTTGAGATTTCTCAAAGCGCTTCACAGATAAAGTGGATTGACTGCGTATTTTGTGGGCAAAACACGACATCCAGTTTGCGCACAGCAATGTCCCGCAAACAGCCATGGAGTGAGTAATCAATTTTTAATTTCTTTTGTGGAATAAGTGGTTGAGGCCAACAAACTGGATGCTGTGAAAGAATGATGTTAGGGTGGGTGTTGAGAAAGGATGAGTTTGCCTGCCCAGACAAGTAGTTTTGATTCTTTACAATGTAGTTTTGATACTTCAAGAATGGCATGAATTGGTTTGATAGGAATATTCCTTCAGGCTAACCATAAGATCTTGATACATTATGAGGGCCTACACTTGTGGGTTTCAGACAGAGTGAATGCTGAACAGGAATCCATTTCCCTTTGTGTTCCAGGTGCTGCTAAGAGAGATGTTGTTTTCCTGATTGATGGATCAGAAAAAATGAGATCCTCGTTCTCTTCGGTCCAGAGCTTCATTTCTAGAGTGGTGGAGAAACTCGATGTTGGAAGTGACAAAGTGCGAGTCAGTGTAGTACAGTACAGTGATGATCCCAGACCCGAGTTCCTGTTAAACAGCCACTCAAGCAAACAGGATGTGATGGATGCAATAAGAAGACTCAGAGTTAAAGGAGGGAGACAGACAAACACTGGGGAAGCGCTGAGCTATATCACGAAGAGCGTGTTCACGATCAATGGTGGCAGCAGAATCCAGGAAGGCGTGCCCCAGTTTTTGATCCTGCTCACTGCTGGCAAGTCCACCGATGATGTTGGGCGGGCAGCGCTGGCACTGAAACACACTGGCGTGGTGCCTTTCACTATCGGATCCAGGGACGCAGACGATGAAGAGCTGCGGCAAATTTCATTGTCTCCTGACTACGTCTTCAGGGTGGATGATCTGCGGAATGTTGGAACACTTGAGCAACGTCTCGAATCTCCTCTGTCAACTCTGACCAAAGATCAGGTAGTCCAGATCCAGAGAAGGATCCTTGAAGGTAAGGAGGCCCTTTCTGTTGAGTATCGTATTGAATCCTATTATTGAGGCCCTTCCTATATTCCCATTCCCACATGGACAGCTCAAAGTAAAATGAAGAAGTATTGGAAGCCTAAATACTGAGGACTCATCAGCCTTTTCCAATGGACTATAGGGATCCCTTGGCATTATTTGAAAGAGAAGGGAGTGTTCTCTGATGTACTGGCCATAACAGCCCCAAATAAAACTAGTTACTCACTTCGAATATAATGCAATTGACAATAAAAATTTCACTTACGTAGCGCCTTTTATGCTAGTAGGACACCCAAAGCATTTTGACAATTCTGGCCGTGCGCCAGAGCTTTGCCATTAATCAAAAATATTCAATCAAGAAAAAACTGAAAGCACATTACTAATCAAACACGGATTCACCTAGACTTGTGTGAATGTTCGGAGGCGGCGAGGGCTGCGCTACTTGAAATCCCCGTGAGTCACTTCTCGCCTGCAGGCCACAGGTTTCCCTCGGCTGTGTATTCAGGTAGTGCTGGAAATTACCAGCTAAAACTGCATATTTTTGAGAGTGCCCTCTGGCAAGCTTCCGGCTTCATATCCAGTCGGCACCACCCTACTTGTCACTGATTTGCTTTCCACGGTTAAAAGGAGCTGAGGGGAAGAAATCCTGCCCCCAGTATTGACCGGGTTCGGCGGATGATTGGAACCTTTTGTCTGATTTTTGAGTGAACTAAATGTTAGTTGGAGAATATATAGTTTTGACTCTTGAAAAGTGACAGAAATTCCTTTGATAGAAACATTCCTTCAGCTTATTCATCTGATCTTGATACTGCACAAGGCACTTGGGTTTCAGACACAGTGAACGTTGAACAGGAATCCATTTCTGTTTGTGTTCCAGGTGCTGTTAAGAGAGATGTTGTTTTCCTGGTTGATGGATCAGAAAGAATGAGATCCTCATTCCCATCGGTCCAGAGCTTCATTTCTAGAGTGGTGGAGAAACTCGATGTTGGAAGTGACAAAGTGCGAGTCAGTGTAGTACAGTACAGTGATGATCCCAGACCCGAGTTCCTGTTAAACAGCCACTCAAACAAACAGGATGTGATGGATGCAATAAGAAGACTCAGAGTTAAAGGAGGGAGACAGACAAACACTGGGGAAGCGCTGAGCTATGTCACGAAGAGCGTGTTCACGATCAATGGTGGCAGCAGAATCCAGGAAGGCGTGCCCCAGTTTTTGATCCTGCTCACTGCTGGCAAGTCCACCGATGATGTTAGGCGGGCAGCGCTGGCACTGAAACACACTGGCGTGGTGCCTTTCACTATCGGATCCAGGGACGCAGATGATGAAGAGCTGCGGCAAATCTCATTGTCTCCTGACTACGTCTTCAGGGTGGATGATCTGCGGAATGTCGGAACACTTGAACAACGTCTCGAATCTCCTCTGTCAACTCTGACCAGAGATCAGGTAGTCCAGATCCAGAGAAGGATCCTTGAAGGTAAGGAGGCCCTTTCTGTTGAGTATCCTATTGAATCCTACTTTTGAAGGCCTTCCTATATTACTATTCCCACATGGACAGCTCAAAGTAAAATGTAGAAATATTGGAAGCCTAAATACTGAGAACGCGTCAGCTCTTCGGATGAACTGTAATAATAATAATCCTTGCATTTCATATAGCGCTTTTCACGTCTTCTAGACATCTCAAAGCACTTCACAGAATATGCTATAAAGTGAATAAACCGTATATTTGTGGGCGAAATGCGGTAGCCAATTTGCATACAGCAGTGTCCCTCAAACAGACTTGGATTGAAAATGACCAATTTATTATTATTTTGTTTTTTGGAGGGATTATTATCAGTTATACATCATATAGATGAATATATAAATTATATAAAGGAACAACAACAACAAGTTTATACCCGTACAGCGCCTTTCACGTCGGGAGGACAACCCAAGGCACTGGAGGGTTAGATTTGGGGGGGGTGGGGTCCAGAGATGACTGAAGGTGCGGTCAGAGAGGAAGGTTTTCAAATTGACCTTGAAGGAGACGAGGAAAGGGGTAAGTCAATGGGTCTCAAGGATGGAGCTCCAGAGTGGAGGCACACAGCACATTTTAGCAATTAACACAGTATAGCACCTACAGATTTTCATGCATAATAATGTAAGCGTCAGTGGAGGAGCACATGTGGAATGCTGTATCTACATTATGTCTTGAATAACTTTAAACATCAGGAGAATAAGATATCCAGGGGTGAGCAACAATTTATTGAGCAGTTCAAGAAACAACTGAACCATACCAATATATAAGTCGAGATCCCTTGGCATTATTCGAACAGAAGGGAGTTTCCTCTGGTATCCTGGACATAATACCCCCAAATGAAACTGGTTGCTCACTTCTTAAAATATAATGCAATTTATGCTGGGAGGACGCCCGAAGCATTTGGCAATTCTGGCCGAGCTTTGCCGTTAATCAAGAAATATGCAATCAACTGAAAATACATTACAGTACATAATGCAATTGACAATAAAAATTTCACTTACATAGCGCCTTTTATGCTGGGAGGACGCCCAAAGCATTTGACAAATCTGGCCGGGCACCAGAGTTATGCCGTTAACCAAAAATATTCAATCAAGAAAAAACTGAAAGCACATTACTGATCGAACATGGACTCACCTAGACTTGTGTGAATGTTCGGAGGGGGCGAGGGCTGTGATACTTGAAATCCCTGTGAGTCACTTCTCGCCTGCAGGCCACAGGTTTCCCTCGGCTTTGTATTCAGGTACTATTGGAAATTACCAGCTAAAACCGCATGTTTTTTGAGAGTGCTCTCTGTCAAGCTTCCTGATTCATGTCCAGTCGGCACCACCCTACCTGTCACTGATTTGGTTTCCACGGTTAAAAGGAGCTGAGGGGATAAATCCTGCCCCCAGTATTGACCGGGTTTGGCAGATGATTGGAACCTATTGTCTGATTTTTGAGTGAACTTAATGTTAGTTGGAGAACATATAGTTTTGACTCTTGAAAAGTGACAGAAATTCCTTTGATAGAAACATTCCTTCAGCTTATTCATCTGATCTTGATACTGCACAAGGCACTTGGGTTTTAGACACAGTGAACGCTGAACAGGAATCCATTTCCGTTTGTGTTCCAGGTGCTGTTAAGAGAGATGTTGTTTTCCTGGTTGATGGATCAGAAAAAATGAGATCCTCATTCCCATCGGTCCAGAGCTTCATTTCTAGAGTGGTGGAGAAACTCGATGTTGGAAGTGACAAAGTGCGAGTCAGTGTAGTACAGTACAGTGATGATCCCAGACCCGAGTTCCTGTTAAACAGCCACTCAAACAAACAGGATGTGATGGATGCAATAAGAAGACTCAGAGTTAAAGGAGGGAGACAGACAAACACTGGGGAAGCGCTGAGCTATGTCACGAAGAGCGTGTTCACGATCAATGGTGGCAGCAGAATCCAGGAAGGCGTGCCCCAGTTTTTGATCCTGCTCACTGCTGGCAAGTCCACCGATGATGTTAGGCGGGCAGCGCTGGCACTGAAACACACTGGCGTGGCGCCTTTCACTATCGGATCCAGGGACGCAGATGATGAAGAGCTGCGGCAAATTTCATTGTCTCCTGACTACGTCTTCAGGGTGGATGATCTGCGGAATGTCGGAACACTTGAGCAACGTCTCGAATCTCCTCTGTCAACTCTGACCAGAGATCAGGTAGTCCAGATCCAGAGAAGGATCCTTGAAGGTAAGGAGGCCCTTTCTGTTGAGTATCCTATTGAATCCTACTATTGAAGCCCTTCCTGTATTCCTATTCCCACATGGACAGCTCAAAGTAAATGTAGAAATATTGGAATCCTAAATACTGAGGACTCATCAGACTTTTACAATGGACTGTAGGGATCCCTTGGCGTTATTTGAAAGAGAAGGGAGTTTCCTCTGATGTCCTGGCCATAACAGCCCCAAATGAAACTGGTTACTCACTGAGAATATAATGCAATTGACAATAAAAATTTCACTTACATAGCGCGTTTTATGCTGGGAGGACGCCCAAAGCATTTGTCAAATCTGGCCGGGCACCAGAGTTATGCCATTAACCAAAAATATTCAATCAAGAAAAAACTGAAAGCACATTACTGATCGAACATGGACTCACCTAGACTTGTGTGAATGTTCGGAGGGGGCGAGGGCTGTGATACTTGAAATCCCTGTGAGTCACTTCTCGCCTGCAGGCCACAGGTTTCCCTCGGCTTTGTATTCAGGTACTATTGGAAATTACCAGCTAAAACCGCATGTTTTTTGAGAGTGCTCTCTGTCAAGCTTCCTGATTCATGTCCAGTCGGCACCACCCTACCTGTCACTGATTTGGTTTCCACGGTTAAAAGGAGCTGAGGGGATAAATCCTGCCCCCAGTATTGACCGGGTTTGGCAGATGATTGGAACCTATTGTCTGATTTTTGAGTGAACTTAATGTTAGTTGGAGAATATATAGTTTTGACTCTTGAAAAGTGACAGAAATTCCTTTGATAGAAACATTCCTTCAGCTTATTCATCTGATCTTGATACTGCACAAGGCACTTGGGTTTTAGACACAGTGAACGCTGAACAGGAATCCATTTCCGTTTGTGTTCCAGGTGCTGTTAAGAGAGATGTTGTTTTCCTGGTTGATGGATCAGAAAAAATGAGATCCTCATTCCCATCGGTCCAGAGCTTCATTTCTAGAGTGGTGGAGAAACTCGATGTTGGAAGTGACAAAGTGCGAGTCAGTGTAGTACAGTACAGTGATGATCCCAGACCCGAGTTCCTGTTAAACAGCCACTCAAACAAACAGGATGTGATGGATGCAATAAGAAGACTCAGAGTTAAAGGAGGGAGACAGACAAACACTGGGGAAGCGCTGAGCTATGTCACGAAGAGCGTGTTCACGATCAATGGTGGCAGCAGAATCCAGGAAGGCGTGCCCCAGTTTTTGATCCTGCTCACTGCTGGCAAGTCCACCGATGATGTTAGGCGGGCAGCGCTGGCACTGAAACACACTGGCGTGGCGCCTTTCACTATCGGATCCAGGGACGCAGATGATGAAGAGCTGCGGCAAATTTCATTGTCTCCTGACTACGTCTTCAGGGTGGATGATCTGCGGAATGTCGGAACACTTGAGCAACGTCTCGAATCTCCTCTGTCAACTCTGACCAGAGATCAGGTAGTCCAGATCCAGAGAAGGATCCTTGAAGGTAAGGAGGCCCTTTCTGTTGAGTATCCTATTGAATCCTACTATTGAAGCCCTTCCTGTATTCCTATTCCCACATGGACAGCTCAAAGTAAATGTAGAAATATTGGAATCCTAAATACTGAGGACTCATCAGACTTTTACAATGGACTGTAGGGATCCCTTGGCGTTATTTGAAAGAGAAGGGAGTTTCCTCTGATGTCCTGGCCATAACAGCCCCAAATGAAACTGGTTACTCACTGAGAATATAATGCAATTGACAATAAAAATTTCACTTACATAGCGCGTTTTATGCTGGGAGGACGCCCAAAGCATTTGTCAAATCTGGCCGGGCACCAGAGTTATGCCGTTAACCAAAAATATTCAATCAAGAAAAAACTGAAAGCACATTACTGATCGAACACGGACTCACCTAGACTTGTGTGAATGTTCGGAGGGGGCGACGGCTGTGATACTTGAAATCCCTGTGAGTCACTTCTCACCTGCAGGCCACAGGTTTCCCTCGGCTTTGTATTCAGGTACTGCTGGAAATTACCAGCTAAAACCGCATATTTTTGAGAGTGCCCTCTGGCAAGCTTCCTGCTTCATATCGGCACCATCCTACTGATCACTGATTTGGTTTCTATGGTTTAAAGGAGCTGAGGGGAAGACATCCTGCCCCCAGTATTGACTGAGTTTAGCGGATGATTGGAACCTTTTGTCTGATTTTTGAGTGAACTAAATGTTAGTTGGAGAATATATAGTTTTGACTCTTGAAAAGTGACAGAAATTCCTTTGATAGAAACATTCCTTCAGCTTATTCATCTGATCTTGATACTGCACAAGGCACTTGGGTTTTAGACACAGTGAACGCTGAACAGGAATCCATTTCCGTTTGTGTTCCAGGTGCTGTTAAGAGAGATGTTGTTTTCCTGGTTGATGGATCAGAAAAAATGAGATCCTCATTCCCATCGGTCCAGAGCTTCATTTCTAGAGTGGTGGAGAAACTCGATGTTGGAAGTGACAAAGTGCGAGTCAGTGTAGTACAGTACAGTGATGATCCCAGACCCGAGTTCCTGTTAAACAGCCACTCAAACAAACAGGATGTGATGGATGCAATAAGAAGACTCAGAGTTAAAGGAGGGAGACAGGCAAACACTGGGGAAGCGCTGAGCTATGTCACGAAGAGCGTGTTCACGATCAATGGTGGCAGCAGAATCCAGGAAGGCGTGCCCCAGTTTTTGATCCTGCTCACTGCTGGCAAGTCTACCGATGATGTTAGGCGGGCAGCGCTGGCACTGAAACACACTGGCGTGGCGCCTTTCACTATCGGATCCAGGGACGCAGATGATGAAGAGCTGCGGCAAATTTCATTGTCTCCTGACTACGTCTTCAGGGTGGATGATCTGCGGAATGTCGGAACACTTGAGCAACGTCTCGAATCTCCTCTGTCAACTCTGACCAGAGATCAGGTAGTCCAGATCCAGAGAAGGATCCTTGAAGGTAAGGAGGCCCTTTCTGTTGAGTATCCTATTGAATCCTACTATTGAAGCCCTTCCTATATTCCTAATCCCACATGGACAGCTCAAAGTAAAATGTAGAAATATTGGAAGCCTAAATACTGAGGACTCGTCAGCTTTTCAGATGGACTGTAATAATAATAATAATCCCAGTATTTGATGTAGCGCTTTTCACGTCTTCTAGACATCTCAAAGCACTTCACAGAATATGCTGCTAATTGAATTAACCGTATGTTTGTGGGCGAAATGCTGCAGCCAATTGCGCACAGCGTGTCCCACATGCAGTCTTGAATTGAAAATGACCAATTTATTATTATTTTGTTTTTTGGAGGGATTATTATCAGTTATACATTATATAGATGAATATATAAATGATATAAAAGAAGAACAACAAAACAATTATACTCCTAGAGCGCCTTTCACATCCGGAGGATAACCCAAGGCACTGGAGGGTCAGATTTGGGGGGTTGGCGTCCAAAGATGACTGAAGGTGTGGTCAGAGAGGAAGGTTTTCAGATTAACTTTGAAGGAGACGAGGAAAGGCGCAAATCAAAGAGTCTCAAGGATGGAACTCCAGAGTGGAGGCACACAGCACATTTTAGCAATTAACACAGTATAGCACCTACAGATTTTCATGCATAATAATGTAAGGGTCAGTGGAGGAGCACATGTGGAATGCTGTATCTACATTATGTCTTGAATAACTTTAAACATCAGGAGAATAAGATATCCAGGGGTGAGCAACAATTTATTGAGCAGTTCAAGAAACAACTGAACCATACCAATATGTAAGTCGAGATCCCTTGGCATTATTCGAAGAGAAGGGAGTTTCCTCTGGTATCCTGGACATAATACCCCCAAATGAAACTGGTTTCTCACTTCTTAAAATATAATGCAATTTATGCTGGGAGGACGCCCAAAGCATTTGGCAATTCTGGCCGAGCTTTGCCGTTAATCAAGAAATATTCAATCAACTGAAAATACATTACTGATCGAACACGGACTCACCTAGACTTGTGTGAATGTTCAGAGGGAGCGAGGGCTGAGATACTTGAAATCCCCGTGAGTCACTTCTCTCCTGCAGGCCACAGGTTTCCCTGGGCTGTGTGTTCAGGTACTACTGGAAATTACCAGCTAAAACTGTATGTTTTTTGAGAGTGCTCTCTGGCTGAGGGGAAGAAATCCTGCCCCCAGTATTGATCGGGTTTGGCGGATGATTGCAACCTATTGTCCGATTTTTGAGTGAACTTACCGTTAGTTGGAGAATATATAGTTTTGACTCTTGAAAAGTGACAGAAATTCCTTTGATAGAAACATTCCTTCAGCTTATTCACCTGATCTTGATACTGCACAAGGCACTTGGGTTTTAGACACAGTGAACGCTGAACAGGAATCCATTTCCGTTTGTGTTCCAGGTGCTGTTAAGAGAGATGTTGTTTTCCTGGTTGATGGATCAGAAAAAATGAGATCCTCATTCCCTTCGGTCCAGAGCTTCATTTCAAGAGTGGTGGAGAAACTCGATGTTGGAAGTGACAAAGTGCGAGTCAGTGTAGTACAGTACAGTGATGATCCCAGACCCGAGTTCCTGTTAAACAGCCACTCAAACAAACAGGATGTGATGGATGCAATAAGAAGACTCAGATTTAAAGGAGGGAGACAGACAAACACTGGGGAAGCGCTGAGCTATGTCACGAAGAGCGTGTTCACGATCAATGGTGGCAGCAGAATCCAGGAAGGCGTGCCCCAGTTTTTGATCCTGCTCACTGCTGGCAAGTCCACCGATGATGTTAGGCGGGCAGCGCTGGCACTGAAACGCACTGGCGTGGCGCCTTTCACTATCGGATCCAGGGACGCAGACGATGAAGAGCTGCGGCAAATTTCATTGTCCCCTGACTACGTCTTCAGTGTGGATGATCTGCGGAATGTCGGAACACTTGAACAACGTCTCGAATCTCCTCTGTCAACTCTGACCAGAGATCAGATAAGGGTTATAGTGGACCAAGGAAGGATTATAGTAGGTAAGGTTTGTAGTAGGTTTTGGTGTTTTAGAGTATGCTTTGTCCCACAATAGTGTGATTGGCTGTTCCTGTAAGTGGACGTTCTCCACTTGATGATTGGGAACACAGCTGTGTGTCAGCAAACTGCGTGGATCATGTATGATCCTGGATCAGAAGGTCATGAGTTCAAGTACCTTGTCAGGACTTGAACTTACAGTCCAGAGAGACACTAAAGTGCAGTGCTGGCCTGTGCTGCATTATCAGAGGTGCCATCCTCAGATAAGACATTAAGCTAAAGTCCAGTCTGCCTTCGCAGAAATATATTAAAGATCCCGTGGCACTGTCAAAAAGATAAAGGAGTTTTTACAGACAAATTTCAAATGGTTTTCCTGTGACTATTTTCCAGATCCAACCCCACAGAGTGTGAAGAGAGATGTTGTGTTCCTGGTTGATGGTTCAGACAAGGCTTCAAGGTCCTTTTCCCTCGTCAAAACCTTTATCATCAACGTAGCTGAGAACCTTGACATTGGAACCGACAAAGTGCGGGTCAGTGTTGTCCAGTATGGCGACCAGCAGAAAGTGGAGTTCTTGTTAAACACCTACTCCACCAAACCGGAATTGCTGGCGGCATTAAAGAACCTCAACCACCGAGGAGGGAGAGAAATTAACACTGGTGCAGCTCTAGAGTACGTCAGGAGAAATATAATCACCAGGGACGGTGGCAGCAGAATCCAAGATGGAGTGCCCCAGTTTTTGATCCTCCTGACGTCTGGTCAATCTAGTGATGATGTCAGACAGGCAGCTCTCGGATTGAAACTGGCTGCTGTGGCGCCTTTTGTCATTGGATCCAGGGACGCAGACAGAAAAGAAATGCAGGATATTTCACTGTCCCTCGATTATGTCTTCAGTTTAGAGACATTGCAGGACCCACAGGCTATAAGACAGGATATAGTAGCCCCATTGACCCAGCTGAACAATGCTCAGATAATCCAAATCAGGAACAAATTAGCTGCTGAAGGTAAGCTTTCATTTGCTTAAAACATGAATCCATAAAAGTGTTTTGTTGCTCCCCAGCCTCCCATGACAACAAGTATTTTTTCATAAATACTTTTCTGCTTATGCTGTTCCAGCCATTAATTCTCCTCTATGTAAAAACGTTACGATGCCGTCCTGCAAATATGACATTAAACGAAGATCCTGTCGCCCACAAAACAAATATTTGGGAGTGACATTTAGGCAGCAATTTTACAGCTGCAATGGGTATTTGTGTTTTTTTTGTTCAGCCTAGTGTATGACACATGCGGAAACCTATCACCATGGTTTAGAGTATCCAAACCAAATTGAGAATTCCATGGAATTCCATGAAAATTCCAGAGATAGATTGTTGGAATGGGATGCGTACTTTCTTCCTGGAGGGATACATCCTGCTTACCTAATTTCGGAAAGTATTAGGTGCAGGTTGGCAAGAACCGAGGCTTGGGGACCCCCAGAGTGTGAGTTGGGATACCGCTGGAGTCTAACCAGCTAAAACTGCATAGCTTGCAGTTGATATTACTGTCTTGCAAGCTTTCCCACTGCTTGTCCAGCCAGGACAGCAGAGCTTGACTTGCAGGTTTAATGGGAGCTGAATGTGAAGAAACCCTGCCTTCAGTGACTGATCTGCCCATACAAGTTCTGCCAACGAGCCAGGCTGGAGTACTGCGGACCCGCATGGCTCAGGAACCGGACTAGTGGAGTCCTGTAACTTAGTGGTTGAGTTTTAACATAAGAAAAATGCAAGACAGGAATGTAAACTTATTGAGCAGCATTTTGCTTACATCCTGAAGTGGGATATATATTCATAGCCCAGCCACTGTTGGCAGGACTTGTAAAGGCAGATCAGTCACTGAAGTGGGATATGTATTCATATCCCACTTCATGATATGAAGTGAAGTTCTGAAGCTTAATGGTTAGAGCACTCGCCTTGCAAGTGAGAGGATTCCCGGCAGGTGGAAACATTGGGCAAGTTTCCTTACTCCATATGCCTCTGTTTACCCAGCAGTAAGTAGGAACTCGGTTGTTAGTCATTAGGCAGATTGATGTTCTGGGGTAATAATTGCTTCAAAAAAAAACTTTGGTCACTCGATCCACCACTGTTTGTGGGACACTGCTGTACGCAATTGACTGCCCTGTTTTGCCCACAAAATATACAGTCAATTAACTTTATATTCTGTGAAGCCCTTTGAGAAGTCTTGAAGTCGTGATAAGGCGCTATATCAAATGCAAGGATTATTATTATTATTATCGAGACTGCCACAGAGGTTGGGCTCAATTCTGACATTCGATTGTCAAACATGTCATCTTGGAACCAGTTGAGCTCCAAGGAGACCCCACTCCCCAGTTCGGGAAGAATAAGAATAATATAACCACAATGATGATTAGGTTAATACAAAGTCAACCAGGGGTCAGTGCAAAGTTCAAATTGCTACACCAAACTACTTTTCATTGAATAGTATGGAATACTTTTTTTTGAGAGAGTTAGGACTATTTTTTATTGGTGAAAAGGTAAACAGGTGGTTCTCTTCTACCTCCAGGTGCCATCAAGAGAGACATTGTGTTCCTCATCGATGGATCAGACAAACTCAGACGTGTTTTCCCTGCAATTCAACGCTTCATTATTAAAGTTGTTGACAACTTGGATGTTGGAATGAACAAAGTGCGTATATCAGTGGTGCAGTACAGCAATGAAGCCAAGGTGAACTTCCTCTTAAACACTCACTCCACCAAGGCTGAGGTCCTGGGAGCAGTGAGAAACCTTGCTGTTTTAGGAGGACCAAATGCTAACACTGGAATGGCACTGGCTTTCGTCAGAGCTAACCTATTCATCAAGCCTGCTGGCAGCAGAATTGAGGAAGGCGTGCCCCAGTTTCTGATCCTGTTCACTGGTGGCAAGTCCACCGATAATGTTGGTCAGGCGGCGCTGGCACTGAAAGAAGCTGGTGTGGCGCCTTTCATTATTGGATCCAGGGATATGGATGATGAGGAGCTGCGACGGATTTCACTGTCTCCCAATTACATCTTCAAGGTGGATGATCTGCGGGATGTCGGAACACTTGAGCAACGTCTGTTGAAGCCTTTATTGAACATGAAAGCAACTGAAATAAGCACAATCCACGAAACATTACGTAAGGAATAATCTTTCTGCCGTGTTTATCAAATTGTTTGAACCGATTGACCAGGTTATTAATATTAGTAATAATGTGCCAACATAATGTAAAAATGCCTCAGTTGCTGAACCCTGGGGTGGAGCACTGCGGTAGACAATCCTCTGAACTCTCCCCTTAGAACCATTCATGAAAGGCTTTCTCTCTATGTTGCCAATTCTTCTCTGAACAGCTTTAATTCACCCAAATTGTCCTTTCGTCATCTTACACCCTCTTTCTTCTTTCCTGTATCTCACTTTCCTGTATTAGATGTCAGACTGCCTTGATGGTAGCACTCCCCCCTCTGAATCAAAAGATTGTGGATTCAAGCCCCACATTGGGACTTTGAACTCACAGTCTAGGCTGACAGCCCACTGCAGTTCTGGGAGTGTGTTGCATTGCTGGAGGTGCGTTCCTTCCGATGAGATGTTGAAGTAATGTCCCGTCTGCCTGTTCAGATGGATGTTAAGGATGTGTCCCTCCAGGGAGAGAGAGTGTTTGTATTCCATTCCACACACAGAGGGAAAAAATAAATAAATAATAATTTGGGCACTCAATCACGACTGTCTGTGGAACACATGTGTGCAATTGGCTGGTGCGTTTTGGCCATAACATATACATAAAACATATAGTCAATCTAGCATACAACTTTACAGTGAAGCCCTTTGAGATGTCTCAACGATGTGATAAGGCACTATATCAAAATGTCTTTTCCCTTTCCAATAAAGCCCTCGCCATCAACGACCTCATTGTTGATGGAATCATTGATATCATCACCCTCACAAAAACCTGGATCACCCCAGGTGATGCCTCTTGACTTTGACCACACCACCCGGCTTTTCCTTCCACTATACACCTCGACCTAACCGCCATGGTGGTGGTGTGGGTCATCTCCAAGTCCAAGTCCCCTTACTCCTCCGGTTCATTTCTCTCGTTCGAGCACCTTACCCTCCAACCATCCCTCCAATCATTTCTTCAAAATTCTCCTTGTTTATCACCCCCCCACAAGCCCTCCCTCATGTTCCTCTCTGACATCTCCACCCTTCTAGCTTCCCTCTGCCTCTGTTCTGTACGCCTCCTCATCCAAGGCGACTTCAACCTGCACTTCACCCCCTCTTGCTCTCCACTGACTTCTCCTCCCTCCTCTCAACCATCATCACCCCATCCTTAAAAAAACCTTCCTTGGTCCCATCCCTGTTCTCAGAATTACCAACCTTATGTCCAACCTCCGTTTCCTTTCCAAGGTTCATGAAAGAATCGTGGCTTCCCAGCTTTGCTCTTTCTTCTTCCGCCACTCCCTGTACGAACCCCTCCAATCGGGTTTCTGTGCTGCCCAAAACACAGAAACTGCCCTGGTCAAAGTGCTAAATGACATTTTGTCCATCTGTGACCGGGGCTCCCTCTGTCTCCTCCTCGTCCTCCTTGACATCTCTGCTGCCTTTGATACCATTGACCACTCTATCCTCGTCCACTACCCCTCCTCTCACCTCAACCTACATAATTCTGTCCTTGAGTGTTTCAGATCCTACCGCTCACACTGTCTCCACTTTGTCTCGACAAATGGCTTGTCCTCCAGCCCCTGCAAAGTCTTGTGCGGCTTTCCTCAGGGCTCTGTCCTTGGTTCACTCCTCTTCAACATGTACATGCTCCTCTTGGTGACATCATCGACAGACACGGGGTCAACTTTCACATGAATGCGGATGACACCCAACTCTATTTCTCTTCCTCCACTCTTGAATCCAAGGTCCACTGCTTCCTGACAGAATGTCTTGTCAGACATCAAGTCCTGGATGAGAGCCAACTTTCTGCAGTTGAATGTCAACCAGGTCCCTCGTGATTGGCTCCTGTCAGCGCCTCCACACCCCAGGCACTGGAAGCATCACCATCCATGTATGCACACTCCACCTTACTGAGCCAGGCCAGAACCTTGGCATTTTCTTTCACCCACAACTGTCTTTTCTGCCCCACATCCATAGCATGATCTGTTCTGCCTTTTCCCACCTTTGCCCGGCTCTGCCCCGATCCCTCAGGCCGCTGGAACCCCCATTCACTCGTTCATCACATCTAGGCTCGACTACGCCAACTCCCTGCCCGTCGGCTTTCCCAACTCTTCCCTCCACAAGCTGCAGATCATCCAGAACTCTGCAGCTCATGTCCTCTCACATATCAGGATGCGTGACCCCATCACCCCCACCCTCGCCCATCCCCCAGAGGATAAAGTTCAAAATTCCCATCCTCGCCTTCAAGGCCCTCTACGCCCTTGCTCATTCCAACATGTCCGCTGCTCGGCCCCACCCGGCATATCCCACCATTGGCTGTCAGGCCTTCAGTCTCTCTGCCCACACCCTCTGGAACTCTATCCCACAGTTCCTTCGCCTTGCATCCTTCAAGGCATGTCTCAAGATCCTCCTCTTTGACTTTATCCACCCTCCTGCCCTCCACCCTCCCTTATCCCAACCCGAGCTCAGGTCCAAATCTCTGACTCTCCAGCGCCTACGGATGTCCTACCGACATGAAAGGTGCTATGCAAATGTAATTTTGTATCGTATGTTAAATGCAAGGATTATTATTATTAATAATTAATAATAATCGCATGGCACTATTCCAAAATTCAAAAATTTCTCCTGGTGTCCTGGCCAACAATCCCCCAGATAAAATTGGTTATTCACTCACTTTACCCCGCTGTTATTTGAAAACAATATCATGGTCCTTTGCAGAATATCCTGTGAAGTGGTTTGAAAGATGTCCTTGTGTCCTGAATGGTGCTATAGAAAACTGCAAGGATTATTATTAAATTATTATTATTTCTAACTCAAGTTTGGCATCCTCCAATTTATATTGCCTCTCTGCATCTGATACTTTCTGGAATTGCAAGTTGTTGTTGGTCTGACCCAAAGCAATGCTTCTAATGCTTTACCCCAGTAATGTGCCTCCCATTCCTCTTGTGTGGCTTTTCCATTTCCTCTAGTAACATACTGACCTAATGTTTTCTAGGTTCTGACAATCCCAAGAAAGACATAGTGTTTCTGGTTGACGGATCCAAAAACGTGAACTCTGGAGATTTTGCTCACATCCGTGATTTCATCATTTACCTAATTGACAGTCTTGACATTGGAGCCAACAAGATCCGAATTGGCCTGGCTCAGTACAGTGACAGACCAAGAACCGAGTTCTTCCTCAAAGACCATCAGAGGAAAGTTTCCCTGCAGGGGGCCATCAGGCGCATTAGACCTGTAGGGGACTTGAGGCTCAACACTGGGGCAGCTGTGAACTTTGTTATTCAAAACCACTTCATCTCAAGAGCTGGAAGCAGGAAAGATGAGGGGGTACCACAGTATCTGATACTCATTACCAGCAGCAAGTCCCAAGATGACATCCGAGCTTCCTCAGATTTAATCAAAAATTCAGGAATTTACAGTTTTGCTGTTGGTGCAAAAAACCCTGACAGAGATGAGTTGAAAAATATTGGAACCCTGCCTTATAGCGTGTACATTCTCAATAGCTTCCAGCTGCTCCCCACCATGCAGGAGGCGCTTCGCAACCAGCTGCTAATGGTCAATCCAGTGGATTACGAGACCCCCGAACCCCCCACACCCGAAGGTGTGTGCCTGCTGCTGCCTCTTACCCTTTAATTAAAGGGTTATGGTTCTTATGGATGGGGGGTGGGGGGTGGGGGGAGTTTGCCAAAAATTCAATGTGTGTGTGTGGATAAGGGAGCGTGAGTATTTAAGAGCTGCTCTGGTATTTGGGAGGGAAGAGAACACAACAGGATTCTTACAGATCAATACCAGGAATACCCCTCCCTTCTCCCACCCTGACCCTAGCTCGGGTCTGAAATGCTGTACACTGTCTTGCACCTTGGGATGTCCTCCTGACGTGAAAGGCGTTATACAAATGTAATCTTGTTGTTGTCATGGGACTTGTATGGATGCATTGGGAGGCCTGCGATGTAATCAGGAAAGAACAGGCTGGATAGTGATGCGTGTCCAAGCTGTCTGTAAGAGTGTGGTGGCAATGCTCTCATTTATTTCATAGTGAGTTGTGCTGCTCACCAAAAATCTTGCTCCAAATCTTGGAGTTCCTACTACCCACCTAATAAGGACTCAACTGGCGCTTTTCAGATGTCGTCGCGGTTGATGTTGAATTCTTCCATCTCAGCTCCTATTGACTCTCTAAACCAAAGTCTTAATGAGTAGGGTGATCCTAGCTAGATAAGATGCCTTCTAGCAACTTCATCCCAACCCTCAGATATTCCTCACCAACTAAGTGTCAGACATTGCTAACAATGATAACCTATGAGATTTTAATTGGTTTGACTCCAACAGTTAACCCAGCACATACTCTGGTGTCCCAAGTCTTGGCTCTTGACATCTGCGCCTAAACTCTGGGATTAGTGAGCAGGGTACAACCAGGGAGCTCCATAACAAATTACCTTACATATGTGGAGCTCTCAGTAGCTTGTTTTGGAGATTAAGGAAAGTGATGGGTTTCCATGTGTAGTGTGTACTGTAGTCAATCACTGGCAGTAAATTTTAATGCCAAACACACAACAAATTTCAAATTTAAGCTCAGGTCAGCTGTTAGCACTTTCACCTATGGTTGTGGGATGAAGCCTCACAGCAGGATGTTGAGTTTACTGTCCAGTACAGTGCTGGGGAGAGCTGAATTGTCAGAGTTGTCATCCTCTGCTACAATATTAATTGAGATCCTGTCTGCCTGTTCAGGCGCACCAGAAAGATCTTTTGGCCAGCAATCGCCCAGATAAAATTCCACATTCATTTAATGACTATTTCCAAACTGGCTGCTGTGTTTACAGCTGCCCTTGAAAGCCATTATTAACTGGCAATGTTATAAGCGCTGAATCGATTGCAAGTATGATTCGTTTCTATTAAGTAAACTCCCCATATTTTAAACTTTCTTCACAGCATCATTGCGTCAGAAAAAGGCTGACATTGTGTTTGCTTTGGATGGTTCCATGAACGTCGGACGGACGAACTTCCCAGTTTTGATCGAGTTCATCAGGAGCATAGTGGACGCGAGCTATAGGGATGACGGATCGTTCCAAGTCGGCGTGGTCCAGTATAGCTCAGACGTGTCGCATGAATTCTTCCTCAATTCCTTCACAGACAGAGAGAGTGTCATCAAGGCCATCCAGAATATCCAGTACAAAGGGGGCAGGATGCTGAACACTGGGAAAGCCCTGAGGCAGATTAAAACCCAGCAGCTAATCCGGCCGGCAGGTAGCAGGGTGGACGAGGGGGTGCCACAGATTGTTATCCTCTTAACAGGTGGGAAGTCGACCGACGATGCCTTGTTGGCTGCAAGAGAGCTGAGAGATTCACACATCAAGCTCTTCACTGTGGCTTTGCCAAACGCCGATGTGGATGAAATGAGCCAAATAGCAAGTGAGCAGGCGGCAGCATTCAGGGTCACCAACTACAATGGTCTGTCTGGCCTGACTGAGGACATCTTGCTGACCTTGGCTGACAGCATTTCAGGTGAACTGTGTCCCAGAGTGCCTGATAAAGTGAAAGGTAAGAATGTGAGAGATCGCTGAAGTAGTAATGGATGGGTATAAATTAAGAACTAATGGTCATATGTCTTAAGACAAGTGCTTGATGATATTAGTGGGGAATGCACTATGTAGTATTTCGAAAAATACACAATCACTGAATATTATAACTATTTGGTCATAAATACCTATCACTTAGTCTTTTGTCTACAAATACAGTCAATATATTTGAATCCAATTGCTTCCAAAGTGCTTTATTTCATCATTATAGACACACATTAAGTGCAAGGATTGTTTATTTAGAAGAACATCTGTAGAGGTGGAAAGACTATTCAGCACACATCTGGTAAATAACGGCATGGCATTCAAACCAACAACGACTTGCATTTGTATAACACCCTTTACATAGGATAGTGTCTCAGAAATCAGGGAAGTATCACAAGGCATCTTTTTCAGGCTGATGATAATGCTGATGATAATAATAATAATCCTTGCATTTCATATAATGCTTTATCACATCATTGAGATGTCTCAAAGAGCTTCACAGAATATATTGTAAAGTGGATTGACTGTAATTTGTGGGCACAACAGTGTCCCACAAACAGTGGTGGGAGTCAGTGACCACATTTTTTTTTGGAGGGATTATTAAACCTGGAAAGTGATCCGCCAGTTGACTAACATCCGTGTTCTTACTTACTGCTAAGTAAAGAGCTTGTGTGGAATAATGAAGCTTGCCTAAGGTTTTTCCCTGCCAGGAAATCGAACCTGGGACCTCTCACTTGTGAGAAGACCGCGCTAACCACTGTGATGCAGGACTCCATATAAGCGGAGCCTCAGCTCCCTTGGTGAGCTGCTCAGCCAGAAGCATTCCCACATTTGTCTCAATACCAGCCTTGTGTGAGAGATGCTCCAACCAGATCCACAGAGTAAACAAATGAGAGTAACATTCCACCGCTAGATCGCGAGAAAGCCCTGCCTAAGGTTGCCTTAAGCACAACCAACCACGGTTCTGTTTAAGGAAAATAAAAATATCAGTTTGTTGTGGTGCCGGGCCAAATGCATCTAGGATAGGCAAGGTGTTTGGAATCCTAATTCCAAAATGAGTGGTCATCCACACTTGGATCCCATGGCACGATTGGAAAAGAGAGTGGAGTTTTTCCCAATATCCTGGCCAACAGTCCCCCAAATAAAATCGGTCATTCACTCCATAGCTGTTTGTGGTGTTGCATGCTGTGCAAAATAGGCTGCTGCATTTGCCAATAAATACATAGCCTCTCCACTTTACAGTATCTCATGCGCTTTGATGTCCTCCCATGTAAAAGGGGCTTTGTTGAATCTAAGAATCATGATTAAGTTTCTTCATTTTATAACTGTTACATTTAGGTGCTAAGGCCTTTCTCTCTGTTCCATCCTCAGACTGCAACATCGACATTTTGCTTGGCTTAGATGTCAGCAGTGGTGGTCGTGGAGACAACGTCTTTGTACCTCTGAGGGTTTTGGAGTCCAAGGTGGGAGATGTTATGCAGAGAATCTCCCAGTTACGGACATTAAGTTGCTCTGGCTCAAAGGTGCCAGTGGTGAGAGTCGGCATCATGGCCTACAGTCGTGGAGGCCAGCGGAAATTCTTCGACTTTGAAGACTACACACCCGAAATAATGAAAAATTTCCAAACCCTGAGAGATGATGCTCCATACGTCCTCGACACAAGGACTTTAAATGCATACTTGCAAGCCTTTAGAGACCGCAGCTCTGCTGGTGTGAAGGTAAGTCTTTCAATACATATTTTCATGTTGGGAGATTGTTACGCACCATGTGATAATAATGTGGGTATAAACCGCATGTAAAGGAAACAAAACTAATTGATGGGATACTGACTTGGTTAATCCTATTTTAACTGTCAGTTGCATAAATCAGGTCTTATGCAATTATTCTGTATACATACATTTCCACAGAGTGCATTTTACACCTGCCGTTACAGAACATAAGAACATAAGAAATGCTAGACAATAAAAGACCAAGGTTCATCTAGTTTGCTTTCCACCTTCCTGGGAGTCATATGCACATATGTCCCAAACTACCCATGTACTATATCCTATAATGTTATTTCCTCAAAGAACACTATCTAATCTGTATTTGAAAGAATCAATACTTCCTGCTTCAACCGTCTCCCTAGGGAGCCTGTTCCACAGGTTCACTATTCGCTCACTGAAATAGTGTTTGAGTAGATTTGTTCTGAACTTACCCCCCTTCAGTCTCAGGCCATGTCCTCTGGTTTTACTATTCTGGACAAGTTGAAACAGATTGGCAGTTTTGTTTGGGTTTTTAGAACCTCACCAACTCTTGTGATGTCAACAACAACAACAACTTGGATTTATATAGCGCCCTCCATGCTGGACAGCATCTCAGAGTGCTTCACAGTAACGGATTCTGGGGCCGAGCCAGGGGGAGGGGGAGGAAGGTGACCAAAGGCGCGGTCGAAAAGAAAAAAAAAGTCAAATGTGACTGTATTGTGATCACTGATGCTTACTGCTTCTCCCACCTTTATGTTGGAGATTTGGTCGTTCCTGTTGTTCATTATCAAATCCAAGTTGTTATCTCCCCTTTGGCTCTTTTACAAACTGAGTCATAAAAGTCTTCCTTTAACTCTAGAAACCCCTTCCCTATCTTACCAGTGGACACATTATTATCCCAATCAATTTCAGTTAAGTTAAAATCTCCAACCACAATGGTTGGCCCCTTGCATACATTTCAAGATCCTGGTCCTCACCTTCAAAGCCCTCCTTGGTCTTGCTCCCCCCTACATCGCCGATCTCCTAACCCCCTACCATCCTTTCATTCCCTCCACTCAACGGGCTCCGGCCTGCTTCACATTCCCCACCTTGCTTGCTCCACTATCGGTGGGCAGGCCTTCCGCCACTCTGCATCCACCCTCTAGAACTCCATCCCACAGTTCTTCCGTCTCGCCCCCTCCCTCGTCACCTTCAAGACCCTCCTCAAGACCCTCCTCTTTGACCGTGCTTTCAATCTCCCTGCTTCCCCCCCTGTCCTCCCCCACCCCCGACCCTCAGCTTGGTTCCGTAACTCTGTCTGTCCAGCGCCTTGGGACGTCCTCCCAATGTGAAAGGCGCTATATAAATGTAATTTTGTTGTTGCTGTTGTTGTTCCTTATCTCATCCCACAGTTCCAGATCAAGGCTTTCACCCTGGCTTGGAGGTCTATAGTAGACCCCCAGTAATAACTTAGCTCTGTTACCATTTTTTAATTCTACCCTTTCCTTATGTGCGTAAAATGTATTTTGTGGAAATGCATGTTGCATATAATAGACACCAATATTGCCAGTCACTTTCAACTGCGTGTTAAAATTCTGGATTGGCGCATTCTCTTCTGTATCCATCACCCCAAACATTGCAGATAGCACCTAAGTAAGGCAGTGTATGTAGATACACAGAGTGGTAAAAGGCCCAAAGTCCTATTGATTCCACTCTTGGGATAACTCCCCTATTTCACTTCCCACCTTATCCTCTTAAACGGGCTCTCCTGCACTGCTGATAACAGACCAACCTACCTGTCCCATTTGCAGGCGGGCCAGACCAGTCACTGGAAGCAGGGATTCTTCCCATTCAACTCCTGCTAACCCCACAAGTCAAAGCCCTAAGGGTAGGATGAGCCTAGCGGTACAAGCAGTGGGAAGCTTGCTTTCAAATGGCAAACTTTGTGGTTTTAGCTGGTTAGACTCCATCAGTACCCCAAATGCACAATCTTGGTTTCCCCAAAGGGAGTTGACTGAGCTCCAAGGGAGGGCTGTACAGCCACAGAGCCTGTCTAATCAAATCCCAGTCAATACTATTGAATGATTTCATCAAAGTACAGTTTATTTCCATTCCTCTTTAAATGAGTCAGCCTCGCTCAGTTGGTAACACTCACACTTTCGAGTTATAAGATTGTGGATTCAAGCCCTATGTCAGGATTTTGAATTCCCAGTACAGGATGGCACTCCTGTGCATTGTTGGAGTAACTGTCAGGTGAGACTTTAAACCAAGGTCCTGTCTGCCTGTTCAAGTGGTCGTTGAAGATCCCATGGGATGATTCAAAAAGAGAAAGGAGTTTTACTCAGTCTCCTTGTTAATAATCCCCCAAATAAAGTTGGTCACTCAATCCCTGGCTCTCTGTGGGACATTGCTGTGTGCAAATTAGCTGCTGTATTCATCTACAAAGTACACATAGACTCCCTGCTTCCTGTGTGTTTATAAAATGCTTTACAGTAAATCCTGCAAAGCACTTTATAATAATAATAATAATAATCCTTGCATTTGATATACTTTGATGTGTAAGCTATATCAAATGAAGAATTATTATTAAATACAAGATAATTTTCATTTATATGGCGTCTTTCACATTGGAAGGAGATCTCAAAGTGATTGACATTTCTGGATGGACACTCCAAATGTCATTTAGCCCTTCTTTTCTCGGTCAGTTGTGTGAAAAGTGCTTTGAAACATCCTCCCGATGTTAAATAATAATTCTTGCAATTGCATTTAATATTACACATTATCATGTTTCGAGACATCTCAAAGTGCTTCACAAGATATACTGTCAAGAGGATTGACTGTGTGTTTTGTGGGAGACTAAATGTAATTGATGTTGCTGTTGGCAGCTTTTGCTCAAATGTCGTTTCCTCCTTTTATAGGTCATAATCCATTTCACGGACGGGCTCGATGAAGACATTAACACATTAAGGGCAGAAGCCGAGACATTACGAAGAGGAGGTATAACAATGTTCATCTGCCTCCCCATGTCTAGTATTTTTTAGAAACGTTAGCATGTCCAATTATTTTCTGATCCTCTCCTCATTGGCCTACGCCTCTCTACTCGCGGTCTGGCATCTTCGTTGCACATGTTGCCCTCCAGTACCCAACCTCAATGGCCTTTGTTCACATGTGAACAGGGCACCATAACCAAGCCTGACCTCTTTTCAGAGAGCAAAATGACGGGGGAAGAAAAAAATCGCATTTAAATAGCTGATGTGCTGCTTCTTTCTTCTGTCTCCCAACAGGTATCCACTCATTGCTGTTGGTTGCCATGGAGAACGTAGCAGGGTTTGAAGAAGCTGCCTTGCTGGAGTTTGGCCGAGGGTTTCGGTACAGGAGACCACTGTCAATCAGCCAGCTGGATTTAGAATATGAGTTGGCGGAAGAACTTGTAAGATTAAATTATTTACTTAGGGTTGTTTTAAAATTAATTTTAAAGTGTCCTTATCTGAACAATTTATTGCCAAAACTGCTGTGTGCCTTTATCTTGACAGGATAACATTGCAGAGAGAGTATGCTGTGATGTCCCTTGCAAGTGTCTTGGTCAGTCTGGTGACAAAGGTCCTCAGGGACCACGAGGCCTGAAGGTAAGTAAACCTACCAAGCAGTTCGCATTTTACATGTTATCAACAGGTAGGTGTCAACTTGGCTCAGTCAGTAGCGTTCTAGTCGCTGGGTTAGAAGTTGCGGACTTTCAGCTCATAGTCTCTGCTGATGCTGCTGTGCAGTGCTTGGGGAGCGCTGCATTATAGGTGACGTTAAACTGAGAACTCATTCAGATGGGCATTAAAAATCCCATGGCACTATTGGAAAAGAGAAGGGAGTTTCTCCTAGTTTCTGGCCAACAATCCCTCAGATAAAAATCATGCAACATTACTACTTACAAGTAGGCTGTTTGTCCACTTAAACATACATAGTCACTACACTTTACAGAAGTTTGTGAAAACATTTTAAGATTCCAGTGGTTTCTCCCATGGTTGCGTTATGGAGGGTCCCACATTCTGTAACCCTGCGTTTGCTAAAGCTCTCTTCCATTTCTTGGCATTTCCACTAGTAATAGATAATACAACCAATATTATCTACGAACAAGCCCTTTTGAACTGGACTCACACTTCCTGTATAAGGGAGTGGTTCCCTGTTGGCCATCAATGCACTGATGGTGCTGCTGAGAGCATTATTAGTTAACAGTGTCAGAGTCAGGACATTTATCACCAAGCCAAGAATCAAACACACTCACCTCCGTGGGTAGTACATTTACTGATGAACAGAGTTTCAAAATGTACTATAAGCGAGACAACAAGCAAGTATACCCAGGGCATTGTAAACCTGGAAGTGTATTAAAAATAAGGCAGCACAGAGGTGAAAATGTCCCAAACAGATTTATTCATTGTCCTGCATTGTCCTTCCTCCAGGGTAACCCAGGTCCTAAAGGATTCAGTGGTCATCCAGGATATGAAGGTGGACCAGTAAGTACAACCTGTAATTGTTGCATACTCCCTGCTTCCTCATCAAATATGTAATTGGCGAACTGTCACATCAGAATGTTCTGTAGCCCTTTTCATGTTGTTTCGATCAACCGGAATTACAAATTCCTACTCCCGGTAATACAGTTTGCCTTCTGCCCATGCAACCTGCTCCAATGCAACCCTTCTCCCTCTTGTGCAAACTGTATCAGATGCCCAGCCGATCCTCCCCAAAAAAAACATGACATCAAAAAGGCCAGAGGGCCCTACTTCATCTGAACCAAATTTGTGATGCCTGTAGCTCAGTGGTTAGAGCACTCGCCTTGCAAGTGAGACACCTGGGTTGAATTCCAGGCAGGGTGAAACCTTGGGCAAGTTTCCTTACTCCACACGCCTAATAATAATCCCTTCAAAACAAAACAGTAATAAATTGATCATTTTCAATCCACAACTGTTTGTGGAACACTGCTGGGCGCAATTGGTTGCTGCGTTTCGCCCACAAATATACAGTCAATTCACTTTACAACATATTCTGTGAAGCGCTTTGAGATGTCTAGAAGATGTATCAAGCGCTATATCAAATGCAAGGATTAATATTATTATTATTATTAAATTCTTGTGTGTCTGTCACAGGGTGAGAGAGGTCCGCCTGGTGTAAATGGAACTCAAGGCTTTCAGGGATGCCAAGGACAAGGTGGAATGAAGGTAACCCCGGATATGTCTTCCAACAGCTGGGTGACTTATCATCAAATTCCAAAAGAATATTTTACAGTTGCACACAAGTAATCTTTGCTTTTCTTTCAAAAACAGGGCACCCGTGGATATCCAGGAGATAAGGTATGTACCTAGCCTGGCGAGCCTGCAGCAGCAGTTGCTATTTTTGACTGTGCTTCTTATTCTATAGCTTTTCAGTCTCAGAGGGGACCTTATAGTCCTTGGAATCCTGTACTGTATTGGTTTGAGTACTTGCTTCACAAACGAGAGGACTCGGGTTCGATTCCCAGGTGGGGCTATACATTAATGCAAGGATTATTATAATTATTATTATTATAGAGGTATGTAAGATGCTAAATTGGATTGAGACCTTAAACCCAGAACACATACTTCCAGATATGTAAATGCAGCAAGGCAAGAGGGCAAATTTTTGGATTGAGAAAAGCAACTCTAGGCCAGACATCAAAAAGTATTCCTTTACAAAGCATAATTACCAGCTACAATAGGTTACTGGGAAGTACGATAAAAGCAGGACCCTGGAACTCATTTACGAAATGGCATGACTACTGTGATCGTGGGGTTGGTGTGAGCTTGAGATTAGTTGAACCGAATGGCCTTTATCATCCAAACTATCTTATTGCTGTTTGTAAACAAAAACAGAAGTCACTGGGAACATTCAGCAGGTCAGGCAGCATCTTTGGAGATGGAAAAGTGAGTCAACTTGTTGGATCCATGACCCTTCGCCACAACCCCAGAAGGGTCGAGGACCCGAAACGTTGACTCACTTTCCTTTCTCCATAGACGCTGCCTGACTTGCTGAGTGTTCCCAGTGACTTCTGTTCTTATTTTCAGATTTCCAGCATCTGCAGTATTTTGTGTTTTGTTTATCGCTGTTTGTCTTCTCTTTGGTAGGGTCTAGACGGAGAACTTGGTCTTGATGGAATAAATGGCGAGCAGGTATGTTACGGACCATTATGTTCCACGCCTTCCTTTCACTTGCCAATAATTTGCTTGGATTGCTGCAACATTGTATTAAATGCCATCTTTATTTCCCTTGCAGGGAATATATGGAATAGCAGGCCCGTCAGGAGAAAGAGGTGACCTGGGTCCCCGGGTAAGTCTACATAGTGTTTTCCATAATATGGCCATTCGTCACTTAATGGTATTAGCATTTGCAAATAGTTTGGGTTACGTACGGTATTTATACAATTTTCAAACACAGACAGTTATAGAGATACAGGCAGATGTTAAGATAAACACACTCATAGTGTCTGAGCTACTTAGGGGCAGATAAATAGAGACAGATGAATGTACCGAGGGTTGAAATTGTACATACTTAGCAATAACACAGTCAAATCAAGCTGTATGTTAACTAATACTTCTTTCTGTGCAGGGTTTGAAAGGAGCCAAAGGTGGGAGAGGAGAAAGAGGTGAAATGGGGCATCGAGGTGACCCGGTAAGCTGCAGAAATAACTTCAAACCCATATTCCAATCTGTTTAATTTTCAACTATTGGAAGTGGCTGAGCTGCAGGTAATTTGAAACAGAGCAGAGTATTCAAGGATTACATTCGTTGTTTAACATTCAGCTCGTTCTCTTATGTTAGATCCTGTTTACTGCAAATTGATAAAGGAGTTGCAAGGCATGTTTTTCATGTTTATAAGTTACCAACAAGATTAGCTTCATGGGGTAAGAATTCTGTTCAGTGTTACATGCATTGCCTTTAGCGATGTCCATCACCAATGGGACGTCCCCATTTGAGTCATGTAATCAAAGGCACTGAGCGTTAACCCTGAATGGAATTTTTACCTTTCAGTGGAACCCTGAATGAGAACTGGGAAAAAAAAATTCACAATGAGTTTAGCAATATCAACGTTTATTCTAACAAATATGAAGTTCTCACATATATCAATGGCTATGTGTTTTTAGCTAGTTAGACTCCAGCAGTACGCCATGCACACTCTGGGGGTCCCCAAGCCTTGGCTCTTGCCAACCTATGCCTAATACTTTCTGGAATTAGGTAAGCTAGATGCGACCCTCCAGGGAGAGAGTGTGCCTTCCAGTGCAACAATCTATCTCTGAAATTTCCAAGTGTAGGTGGAATGCATGGAATTCTCAGCTTGGTTTGGGTACACTTAAACATGATGATGGGTTTCCGCATGTGGTTGACCAAAACAAAAATTCAGCCTATGCTGAACCTAAGTCCATTTAATATAGAAGTGTCTGTGGACAAGGTGAATTTTGGTCTTCAAATACTGTCAGCGGGTGGGTAATACAAAGGTCTACAAGTCTTGAAAGGTCTCATAAATCGATACCCTCCCCTAACTACTTGTCCAGTAGGAAGAATTGTTGCTCCCCCGCAGATTCTGCCAAATGGGCCAGGCTGGCTGAGCTGTCCATCATCAGTGCTGTGCAGTACTCAGAACCAGGCTACTGAGTCCACTCCACAGGGTTGACTTGATTCCAACATTCTGTTACCAAGCATGTCACCTTGGAGCCAGCTCAGCCCCAAGAAGACCCTGGACTATTTTCCGCAAAGGAGAAATGCGCAAATGACTTTTGTCCACTGGATGTTCATATGTCCGCCTTTCAAGTACATTAAGGTTTATAATTGATCGTATTTATTTGTGATATCTATTGACAGTCAGTTCTGCACTAACCTTATTATAACAGTTAGCTAGTTTCTGGGTTTCATTTGGAATGCCAAACCAATCAGTGGACACAAGTATGGTTCGATGCTGACTAGCAATGACTGAGATGGATCTTGGTAACTCCAGTTCTACAATGGTCAGGGAGGGCTGCATGATGTATGTGTGTGTGTGTGGAGGTAAATACTAAAACAATAAGCTTTGCATTTGGTACAGCTGTTCTCACATCAGCAGGATGACTCAAAATGCTTCATGGGATTCACTATAAAATGCAGTGACTATGGATTTTATAGGAAAATAGTACAAGGCATCACAAAGCAAATAACAATATCAATGGGATTCTCTGTGATCCTACAGGGCACATCAGGAACTGACAACACTCAGAGAGGAATCAAAGGGCAGAAGGGTGACTCTGGCATAGCGGTAATGTATAGTTTGTTCCAGATATTTTGATTATTGAATAATAATCACATTGTTAAGCCTACAGCTAGTGTTAACCTTTTAGTCATATTAATGCATCAAAAAATATACGGCAACAGTTAACCCGCTTTGGTCTTTCTAACATTTTACTTTGATGTAGGGAGACCCCGGTACAGATGGCACTCCAGGACAGAGGGGACCACTTGGCAAGAATGTAAGTGAGATTTTATTACTCGTGAAGGATTATTGTACGGGAAATGAAAAGGACCTGGGGATCCTGCTTGATAATAAATTGAAGCTATCCCAGCAGGGATCGGTAGCAGTGAGTAAGGCAGTCTTTAAGATTCTGAAGGGAACACATAATGTAGACCATGACAAGTTGTTTTATCTTGTACTGAACAGTAGAACCAGAGGACCTGGCCTATGACTGTAGTGGGGTAAATTCAGAACAAATCTGCGGAAACACTACTTCAGTGAGAGACTAGCAAACTTGTGGAACAGGGAGACAGTGCCCTTGTCCTTAGGGAGACAGTGGAAGCTGAAAATATAATTTTGTTTCAAGAATAAATGAGATAGGTTTCTGCTAGAAAATAATATCTTGGGATACCGTGTATAGTTTGGGACACGACATGTCAAGCATCTGCCAGGATGGTGGAAGGCAAGCGAGGGATGTTGGTCTTCTCTCGCCTGGCAAATTCTTATGTTCTTATTGGGCTCAGTATATTCTAAAAGGCTGAATATTCTTACTGTGCATATCTCTGAGACTCTGGGATTTAACACTGCTTTGCTAAAGGAGTAACGCTTTCACTCACTGAACAGTTCAGACCTCACTGTAACTTCCCAGTGTAACCATGTAACTATGAATCAGAGAAATTTGAAGGAGGCCATTCAGCCCATTAAATCTCCAACAACTCTCAGAGAAAGGTGTTCATTCAATCCCACTGCCCTGCCATATCCTCACACTCCTTCAAGCCTCTATTCTTCATATACCTCCTTCTTGAAATACACAATGGACACTGCCTCTGTACCTTAGATTGGATTTCGACATCCCAACAACTCTTTGAGTAAAAATGTTTTTCCTAAACTCTCCTTTAGATTGTTATAACCATGCCCCCAACCCCCACCCACTGACTCCCCAGTGCAACTATGCTTCAAATGACCAGGTAAAAGTTTGCTGGGTTCCCGAGTGTCAATCTTAACAGAGCCTGATTCTGCCCTCACTGAAGGGGATGATTCTGTTGAGCATTACACTGAACACCGACAGCCACCACCAAACGATTAATAATAATAATCTTTGTGGTTGATACAGCGCCTTTACCACATCAACGCCTCAAAGTGCTTCACTGCAAAGTGCAATGACGATGTATTTGTAGGGAAGCAATGCAGCCAATTTGCAAGGTCCAATAAAGTAAATAACTATTTTAGACACATACTTTAAAAGGAGTCAGCTTACAGGGGTATGGGGAAAGGGCTGGCACATTGAACTGAAAGGGTTGTTCTTGAGGGAGCGACACAGACACGATGGGACAAATAGCCTTCAACTAAGCTGTAAATTTCTATGGTTCTATTGGATTATAAAAAAAAGGCAAAAAAGAGGAAGAAGTGGCACAGGCACGATGGACCAATTAGCCTCATTCTGTGAAAAAAAAGTGGAATGTTTCTAAATAAACAAGCTGAATGCAAGCCATATGCTAATGACATGTCTCCTGGTTTTGGTATCATATCAGTAATTCAGGGTTTGTTTATGTCATTACAGGGAGCGACCGGCCGCAGGGGATCAGCCGGACCCAGAGTACAGTTTTCTTTCTTTTTCTCTGAATCATTTTTCTCAGTGTTTTCTCTGTGTACTCTCCTGTCTGTGGTTTATTCCATATCTGTAAGAATTTCTTGCATTCACAGAGAGTATAGTATGAAGGGTTATAGCTAGCAGCATGACATGAGAGATATTGAACAGGGTAGAATGGAAAACATCTTAACAGTGCAGTGTGAGACACATCAAACAGTTTGGAGTGAGAGACATTGAGCAGTGTGGAGTGAGAGACACAGTTTACAGCGTGGAATGAGGCATAACTAAAAATGTGGAGTGAGAAACAGTGCAGAGTGACACACAAATCTACAATTGTGGTATAAATATACCAAAAGGCACTGTCGCTGTGCCCACATTCACTGCTGGATTGGCTGGTTGTGCGTTCAGGTACCATTCTGCACTCAAACGAATGGAGCCTCTCTGGAACCGTGCACTCTGCCAACTCAGATCCTCTGAACCAAGCCAGTCTACAGTATTCCAGGGCACTGCTGATGACAGCACAGCAGAGACTGGCTCATTGGCACGACTTGGAAGTCCAGGACAGTCTCTGCAGACAGGGAATCCTCCCACTCAGCTCCTGTTAACCTTGCAAGTCAAATCCCTAACAGGTAGGATGGTGCTAGCTGGATAAGCTTGCCAGACAGTGCCATCAATGGCAAACAATGCAGTTTTAGCTGGTTACACACCCACAGTACCCCATCAAACACTTTGGGGTCCCCAAGCCTTGGGTTTTGTCAACCTGCAACTAATACTTAGGTAAGCACCAACAACAACAATTTATATTTGTATAGCACCCTTCACATCGGGAGGATGTCCCAAGGAGCTGGGCAGACAAGGATTTGGACCCGAGCAGGGGTTTGGGATCAGGAGGGGTGGAGCGCAGGGAGCGTAGGGGTAGGAGGGTGGCCGAAGGCGCGGTCAAAGAGGAAGCTGTTAAGACTGGAGAGAGTGTGCATTCCATTCTATTTCTTGAATTTCCATGTACAGATAGGATGCGTGGAATTCTCAGTTTAGTTTGGAGACTCTTAAGCATGATGGGTTACTGCATATGTCATTTACCCAGCCGAACAAAAATAAAAGCAGCTCAGATCCACTTGTGTGAGACAAAGGATGCTAAAAAGAAATGTCATGTATTAAAATTTATTTCACGTGACACATTTAGGGCGACAAAGGTGCTGCAGGACCCCCAGGCAGTGCAGGGGAGCCAGGATTCAGAGGCCCACAAGTAGGTATTAGACAACTAAAAAAAAGCTTTAAATACAGTAAAACTTGCATAAGTCTTATCTTTATAAATGGCATAATCACCTAATCATACCTTCACCAGATTCGCATTCAGTTTGCTATCAAAACCTCTTCGATTTCTTTGCACTAGTAGTATTAATCACCTAATAACTCATAATGCTGTTCCCCTAACCTCCATTACTCCCGCACTTACCAGCTGCTTTGAATCGTGGGAAACGTAGTAATAATAATAATCCTTGCATTTGATATAGCGCTTTTCACGTCTTCTAGACGTCTCAAAGCGCTTCACAGAATATGCTGTAAAGTGAATTGACTGTATATTTGTGGGCAGCAGCCAATTACGCACAGCAGTGTCCCACAAACAGTCGTGGATTGAAAATGACCAATTTATTATTGTTTTGTTTTGGAGGGATTATTATTAGGCTCTGTGTGGAGTAAGGAAACTTGCCCAAGGTTTCGCCCTCTGCCTGGAATTGAACCCAGGTGTCTCGCTTGCAAGGCGAGTGCTCTAACCACTGAGCTACAGGACTCCACAATCGGTCTTCATCCGTCAGCGCATGCGCAGAAGAACTTCATTTCCTGTGATTCAGTTCCAACATTGGCTGGCATGTGCGCTTGCGGGGCTGTGTCAAGACTCATTGTATAGCGGGAAACGCAGTCTTGACCGTCACTGCATACGGACTTACCGGCTGTAATGACGAACTACCGCATGCGCACTTATCATCTGCATTGAATTATGCACAGTGTAGATCATTGATTAAATTGCATTTTATTTGAGTTATACAGTTTGCCTGCAACTTCGACTTTGAGCAAGTCGCGTAAGACATACTATAGTCTCGACTGATACAACTTATGTGAGGTTTACTGTATTATAATTGTAAGATCTCAAGGATCCTTAAGATGCAAAACACAGAACTGATGTTTTTTTGTGTATTGTCAGGGTCCGTCTGGAAGCGGAGGTCAGCCTGGGATCATTGGTGCACCGGGCATGCGAGGGCCTCGGGTGAGTGCAAGGAACACGTGACCATTTCTCATATACATACAGCACTTTACATAGCCCACTTTAAGCGGGGTAGGTCTCAGACAGTTTCACAATAGTGTAGTTTGATGCCGAGCTGGGGAGTTGTATACTATTGTGCATTCCTTAGCTTGAGCTCAAGACTGGGCCTGATCTGATTTATATAAGGTCGTCCAATGGGGTTCCAAAAATACACTCTCTGTCCTGTATCAATCCAGACCAAACTTGTGGATTACCTTTTAGCAGCTGTAACAGTTCTAAATGAATTGAATGTGATTCTCCATCCAATTTGTATTTTTCCCAGCCGTATATTTCCCCAGATAAATTTCAGCACCTTTTGATGAGTCAAAGCCGAGAATATAATTGAGGGGTTTATATGGTTTACATGCAGGAGAACACATCTGCCAGAGTGTTTAACTGTGTAACTTAACTCAAACTGTAGCTGACCTGGGAGTGCTGGATGGGTAGTGTAGAGGGAGTTTCACTCTATATGTAACCCATGCTGTAGCTAACATTGGAGTCGGGATGGAGGGAGTGTGGAGGGAGCTTCGCTCTATATCTAACCAATATTGCAGCTGGTATACAAGCTGGTATCAAACAGAGGGAGCTTTTGCCCAGGCTTTACTAGATCTAGAATTGCTAGTCTGGTTTTCTCTTCCCTTAACCCTTGATATTCTTCATGCCAATGAGCACAACACTCCAAATATAAAGCAGTGGGGGGAAGGGGGGGGGGGAGTGTAAAGAGAATGTAACAGTGCTTTGGGGAGCTGAGTTGATGTCTACTTTTTGTTAATTGTTTAAGAGGCTCTTTTGTTTCTTTTGATTAGGGACCGTTTGGGCCTCCAGGACCAGATGGTGAAAACGGTAGGAGTGGGCCAATTGGGAGAAAGGTGAGTGGCCTTTTAGAATGTATCTGACTCCATTGAGTTCGTGAAGTTAGCTGATTTGTGGCTTACTGATGCTCAGTTTTAACTGATGTGTTGCTTTTCAGGGTGAGCCTGGCACCTCTGGCAAGAGGGGTGAAAGTGGACCTGTTGGGCCTCGTGGAGAAATGGTTAGTGTTCACTCTGTTTGCTCTAACTCCCTATGAGTTGCTCAATATACTCTTTGGGGCAGAGGTAAGCTCCAAGATGACATGTTTGGCAATGGTATGTCAGAATCGAGCAACTCTCTGTAGCAGTCTCGGTAGTCCAGTTCCTGAGTCAGGTGGATCCTCAGTATTCCAGGGCACTGCTGATGAAAGATCAGCCAGCCTGGCTGATAGACCACTCACTAAGGACAAGAAATCCTCCCACTCAGTTCCTATTGTCCTTGCAAGTCAAAGCCCAAACTGGACAAGCAGTGGGAAAGACAGCAATATTAACGGCAAGTTATCTGGTTTTAGCTGGACAGACTCCAGCTGCCACCCCAACCCTCATTCTGGTATTCCTGGGGCTTGCTAACAGGATGCGTTCCTGCAGGGAGAGAGTGGATACTCCATTCCGACAATCAATCTGTTGAATTTCCATGCATAGGTGGGATGCATAGAATTCTCAATTTGGTGATGGGTCTCCGCATGTGCCAGACACCCAGCTGACCAAAAAAAGATGCTCAATACAGTCAATGTATTTGCAGTGGACTAATGCAAAGTACACTGAGTGCATTTAACAACATGCAGTTTAGTACAGAATACCAATGATTTCTGGCATTCTCTTGCAATTTGCATTAATAATATCATTATTCTGATGAACTTAAGTACCAGGTTACCTCTTTGCCCACAAATGTGTAGTCACTAACATTCGTTACTGTAAAGCAGTTTGAGATGTTTCAACAGTCTAGGTGTTATAGCATGCACAAGGATCATTATAGAATTATTGTACGGCCAGTATTTACTCAGTCTATTTCTGTGCTCCTACAGGGCGAGGATGGGAAAGATGGAATCGGAAACCCAGGACCCAGAGGCAGAAAGGTCAGTGATGTTCAGGGAAGGACACTTATGGAAATTTGTTAAATGCAAAGGAGTGTGCAATGAATGCAGGTTAACACAGGCTTAACAATGGAGTGAAAATATTTCCCCCAGTCTGTATGTCAGTGACTCGAGGGCATCAATTTACAAAAATTGGCAAGTGAGCAAAAAGGGAGAGATTAATAAGAATTTTTTACAGTAAGTTGTTAGGGTGTGGAATGTCCTGCAGGGTGTGGTGGGCGAGGCACAATCCATATTAGCTTTCAAGAGCGAGCTAAACAGCTATCTAAAAATTGAGTCATTTGTGGGGCTACGGGGTAAAAGCCAAGTAAATGGGACTGAAAGGCAAGCAAATGGCACTTCTGTGCTGTAAATTTCTATGTTTTTGTGGAAGTTTACCTATAACAACAACAACAAATGACATTTCATGTCGAAAAGACGTCCCAAGGCGCGGACAGTCAAGGATTTGCACCCAGTTGGGGTTGGAATCAGGATGGGTGGAAGATAGGGAGGGTGGGGGTAGGATGGTGACCGAAAGTGCGGTAGAAAAGGAGGGTCTTGAGACAGGCCTTGAAAGGGAGCAACGGGACTGTAGATTGATGTTCCAAAGGACGGTGGCAGAAAGGCTGAAGGCCCAGTGGCGGATGCTGGGTGGGCTGGGCGGGGGACGTGGAGCAAGCCAGAGTCCACTGAGCAGAGGGAGCGGACAGGTCAGTTTAGTTCGGAAGAAAGAGCAGGATGGAAATACTGCAGACACTTGCAGTCACTGTTGAATTAATGGGTAAAAGCCTGCCAATCCTCCATTGACTTAGAATGAAGCATGTTTTCCACACATTGTTTCCAGTATGTATCAAATAACCAACAGACCAATCGTTCTGGTCACTGCAGCAAGCTCTCAGTTGTGTTCTGATGGGTCTCACCTTGTCTTTGTTTTCCAGGGAGAGAGAGGTCCACTAGGACTCCCAGGACCAAAGGTAAAAGGATTAAGTTTCCACTGATCACCTTGCTTTTCTGCTTCGCATTTCTCATTTTGATCATCTTATAAGATAGTATTGTGTTCTTCAAATCAGGGTTACCTTGGAGAGAACGGAGTGAAAGGCAGAGAAGGTGTGAAAGGAAACCGAGGCAGGAGGGTGAGTGGTCTCCAAACAACGAAAGGCAGCACTTATTTGAGACGCTTCTCACTTTCACTGTGTTAAAGATGACTTTTTGCTGCGGATTTTGTATTGCTGCTGAGTAACTTTCACTTCTTAAATTTTGTACTATTGGTCAGTGTGTGACGACCTCCATAATGGTCATTTTGTGATGGCTTCAGTATGGGACAGCTTCAGTGTTGATCGTTTTCTCTCTCTCCTAAACACACAGGGATATTCAGGAGAGCCAGGAGCAGATGGACAGAAAGGAGAGTATGGTTATTCAGGCCCCCAGGTACAGTATATTTTGTTTGATTTAGAAATGCAAGTATTTTATAGATTGATCACTGTACAATTTTATAACAGTTTGGTGGAAGACGGCCCCTTCAGCCAATCTACCTCTTCCAGGAAACACCCCCCTCTCGTTACCCCACTTTCACAGCACTGCACTGTTAGTTAAATGAGTCCCACATCTGATCTCAGACACCCTTCCTGCAAATCATTCACATTTAAACACACAATGTGTGGAACTGCAGCCTGGCCTTGGGAATTGCCTCACAAGTGAGAAGACTCCAGGATCAATTCCTGGACAGGGCAAAACGTTTGTCAAGTTTCCTTACTTCACACGCCTCCAGTCCTGTAGCTCAGTGGTTAGAGCACTCGCTTTGCAAGTGAGAGACCTGAGTTCAATTCCAGGTAGGGCGAAACCTTGGACAAGTTTCCTTACTCCACACGCCTAATAATAATCCCTCCAAAAACCAAAACCAATAATAAATTGGTCATTCTCAATCTACGACTGTTTGTGGGACATTGCTGTGCGCAATTGGCTGCTGCGTTCGCCCACAAATATACAGTCAATTCACTTTACAGAGTGTTCTGTGAAGCGCTTTGGGACGTCCTCCCGACGTGAAAAGCGCTATATCAAATGCAAGGATTATTAGTATTATTATTTATCTAGCAGTATGTAGGAACCTGGTCATTAGTCAATTGGCACATAGCTTTCTGATGTAATAATCCCACCAAAAAGAAAAAATTAGTCACTCAATCCACCTTTGTTTGTGGGACATTGCTGTATGCAATTGTCTGCCATGTTTTGCCCACAAAATACAGCCAATCTACTTTACAATATATTCGGTGAAGTGCTTTAAGACATCTTAGTGATTTGATGAGGGTCTTTATCAAATGCAAGGATTATTATTATTTTACACAATCGACGTTCAGCCCGAGCATTGCACTAAGTGGTCGTACATTTATGAAGATTTTTGACACATATCTCCTGCCCTTTTTTTCAGGGTGAAAAGGGAAGGCGTGGGTTGTCTGTCATGGTAAGTAAAGTGTTTCAGATTACAAAATATAGTTTGGATTTTATCGTGTAGCAACTGACCATCCAGTTTGTTTCCTAATTTTTCAGACTTGCGATCTTGTAAAGCAGATCAGAGATTCCTGCCGTAAGTCATGCATGTTACATATCTCTGAGGATAGATGTTCCTCTCTCTCTGTCTCACTCACATGTGTGGTTAGAAATTCCGATCTTATCACATACAGCACCTTGGTGATGCTGACTGCCATGGGACTCTGCCATTAGAATAGTTCATTGCCAAAGGTACCTAGAGCAAAACTCCACAGATTTTTTTCCCTTCTGTATTTTAACAGGAGAATGGTTCGCGCAGCATAGCAGTATTTTATCTTTTATCTTTCAGTGCTAGGAAGTAGTCTTGAATACAACTCAGTCTGATAGGGCAATACATCTCCTTAGACTGATGCTCCAGTGCACTTCTGGGGCAGTGCTGCCTTGTTAGAGGTGCCATCCTTCAGATAACACTCTCCCCTGGTATCCTGGCCAACAGTCCCCCAAATAAAATTGGTCTCTCACTTCATGGTTATTTGTGGGACGTTGCTGTGTGTAAATTGACTGTTGTATTCACTTACAAACACACACTTTAGGGTAAAATCATGTGAAGCAATTGGACAGAAAAAACACTGTATCAATTGCAAGGATTATTATATCTGTCCAATTTACATACTGGCAGCTTTAGAGCCCCTGATCCAACTTCACAGGCTAGAATGAGAGCTTCCAAGTGTGTCAACTTGGCTCAGTGGTAGCATTCTCACCTCTGAGTCAGAAGGTTGTAGGTGCAATCCCCGTATTAGGAGTTGGAATTGCATAGGCTAGCCCAATGCAGTGCTGAAGGTGTGTTGGATTGAGACGTTAAACCGAGGTGCCATCTGCCTATTCAGGTGGAAGATCCCATGGTGCTATTCAAAAAAAGAAGGGGGTTTCTCTCCCCTGGTGTCACGCCCATCAATCCCCCAAATAAAATTGGTCAGTCACGCCATGGCTGTTTGTAGGATACCGCTGTGTGCAATTGGCTGCCGCGTTTCACCCACAAAATACATAGTCAATCTACTTTCCAGTATATTCTGTGAAGTGCTTTGAGACGTTTCGACAATGTAATAAAAAAAATAATAAAAAAAAGTAATAATTAAAGCTATATCAAATGCTAGGATTAATATCATTATAAAATATTGCATACTAATTGATTCCCACCAAGATGAATATGTGCCCAATAGAGAATATTTATTCCGAGTGCAACTATGTACAGGTAAAGTTCCTTTGAAATGTTGATGATCCCAGATAAAAACTCTTACACTGTGCTTGTTTGTCTCCTTTACAGCTTGCTGCTATGGTAAGTTACTCCGGATGAAGTGAATACTTTTGAGTTTCTGTGGCATTTGCTTGATGATTTGAAAGGAAAACGGGTTCACTCTTAGTCCTTGCCCTCAGGTGAAAAGGAGTGTCCAGTCTATCCAACCGAGCTGGCCTTTGTGATCGATACATCCAAGGATTCAAATGCTGCCCAGCTTAACAGCTACAAGGACTTCATTCTCAAAATAGTGCATAACCTGACCATAGTAGAGAGCAATTGCCCCAAGGGTGCTCGGGTGGCAGTGCTGACCTACAACAGTGAAGTGATGACAGAAATACGCTTCAGCGGTGCCAGGAACAAGCGGGACCTGATCAGCCGTATCGAAAACATGCAGTTCACCCGCTCGAGCAGGGAGTCCAGCCTTGCCCACGCTACGCAATTTGTGGCCAAGAATACCTTCAAGCGTGTGCGTAGTGGCTTCCTGATGAGGAAGCTGGCTGTGTTCTTCCCTAGCGGAGCCACAAGTCGCTCCCCGGAGTTGGACGCGGGCATCCTGAAGATCTACGACGAGAACATCATCTCTGTCTTCCTTACGCCCAAAGATGACAACGTGCTGAACCGGGCGCTGCAGGTGAGGCTTTTTATCCCGCCTCCTCTTGCCTTTTGCTTATTGTGTGTCAACCTGGCCCAGTGGTAGCGCTCTCACTTCTGAGTCAGAAGGTTGTGAGTTCAAGCCCCATCTCAGGACTTGGAATCACGTAGTCTAAGGTGACACTCCGGTACAGTACTGGGGGGGTTGTTGGTTGTCGGAGGTGCTGTCATATGGATGAGATGTTAAAAGGATGTCTTGTCTGCCTGTTTAGATGGATGTTGAAGATCCCATGGTACTATTCGAAAAGAGAATGGAATCTGAGCCAACAAGCCTCCCAAATAAAAAAATAGTCACCAACTCCACGATTGTTTGTGGGACACTGGTGTGCACAACTTACTGCTGCGTTTTGCCCACAAAAATAGTCTTAGTATATCCTGTGAAGCGCTTTGAGATGTCTTGATGACGTGATAAGGCGTTAAATTAGATAGAAGGATGTAATATTATTATGCGCATCATCGCTACATCCCAAAGAGTTTCACAGGTCACATTGTAAAGTGTATCTGGCTGTATTATAGCGTACACAACTTGGGGAGAAACTCCACCATAAAATCACCCTACTCATGTATCATGTATCAATTTGGAAAATTCTTCAATATGGCCTTTATAGGAAAGCAGGTACAAGAGGAGGCCATTCAGCCCAATGAGCCTCTTCCCCAGTTTAGGATCTTGGCTGATCTTTACCCAATCTATCTATTTGTCTTTTAAACATAAGTTTGAGCTGTTCTTAATGTAAGTTTGCTTTGAGACCTAGAGAAAAACGGCTTTAAAGTTGGGACTGAACTTGACTATTTGCTAAATTCTGGATTTTCTGAAATGTTACGTAAATAAGAGTAAAATCTGGACTCAGGTGGAATTTCTCCCCAAAGAGAAAATCTTTGGGACCAAATATGGATGCTGTATTTTTATTCCGGTCCAGTTCATTGCTTCATAACATTGTCCGAGTGACAGAGTCATCCATCCCTGCTGTGTGGAGGAGTGACACGCTAGCTCAGTCATGTATTTGTTTTGCTAGATAAATGAAACCGGGCTGTCGCAGCTCCTGAATTTCCGCAATGATGAGGCGACAATGGAAAAGGTGATGTCCTGCCACGTTTGTTTAGGTATGTTACTTCCATCTGTCAGTTTCCTACTTTCCCTTCACCTCACCTACAAATCCCCAGCACCTCCCTCTCTCTGACCTGCTGGTACCCACTCCTCTATTTGCCCCCTTCTCTCAGCTAACATAGCCCTGTTGTGCATCTCCCGACTGCACCCTGCCATCATCTTTGGCCGTGCCTTCAGCCACTCCACCCCTGCCTCATCCCTCCACCGTATCCCCTCTTTAACTAGCCATTAGAGCTGCAATGCATCATTTTACAACAACAAGATTCCATTTATAAAGCGCCTTTTACGTCAGGAGGACGTCCCAAGGCGCTGCACAGTTGGGTCAGGACCCGAGCCGGGGGGAAATGGTCAGGGTGAGGGGAGGGGAGGGAGGGAGCGAGGAGGGGTGAAATGGTCAGGGTGAGGGGAGGGAAGGGAGGGAGCGAGGAGGGGGAAGAGAGTCGAGAGGGGAGCTGAAGGCTCAGTCAAAGAGAAAGGTTTTGAGACCGGCCTTGAAGGAGGAGAGGGAGGAAGCAAGGCGAAGGCACTGGGGGATGGAGTTCCAGAGCCTGGGGGCTGAGAGGCTGAAGGCCCGACCACCGATGGTAGGGCGGTTGGGGCGGGGGACGTGGAGCAGACCGGAGCCGTAGGAACGGAGGGTACGGGTGGGTAGGTAGGGGGATAGTAGGTCAGAGAGGTAGGAGGGAGCAAGCCCGTGGATGGCCTTATAGGTGAGGATGAGGATCTTGAAATCGATCCTCTGGGGGATGGGGAGCCAGTGGAGGCGAGCGAGGGTGGGAGTGATGTGGTCGCGAAGCCTGGTGCGGGACAGTACACGAGCTGCAGAGTTCTGAATGACCTGCAGCTTGTGGAGGGAGGTGCCGGGAAGGCCGGCGAGGAGAGAGTTCCCATAGTCCAGCCTTGAGGTGATAAAGGCGTGGACCAGGGTTTTTGCAGCGTGAGGGGTGAGGTAGTGCCGTAGTCTGGCGATGTTCCGGAGGTGATGGAAGGCGGTGCCAGTTGTGGTGCGGATGTGAGGGAGAAAGGACAGCTCAGGGTCGAACAAAACGCCGAGGTTCCTGACTGGCTTTGAGAGGTGGAGAGTGTAGCCTTGGATGCTGATGGTGTCAGCGCCTGAGGTGCGGAGGCGCTGACGTGAGCCAATCAGGAGGGCCTCGGTTTTTCGCACGTTGAGCTGAAGAAAGTTGTCTCTCGTCCAAGACAGGCAGCTGTCAGGACATCGGTGGTCGTGGAGTTGAGAGTAGAGGAGGAAAGGTAGAGTTGGGTGTCATCCGCATACATGTGGAAGTTAACCCCATGTCTGCGGATGAAGTCACCAAGGGGGAGCATGTAGAGGGTGAAGAGGAGGGGACCGAGGACAGAGCCCTGAGGGACACCACATGAGACAGTGCGGGGGGTGGAGGAGAAGCCATTTGTAGAGACAAAGTGAAGACGGTGAGAAAGGTACGACCTAAACCACTCAAGGACAGTGCCTTGAAGGTTGAGGTGGGAGGACAAGCGGTGGAGTAGGATAGCGTGGCCGACCGTATCGAATGCTGCCGATAGGTCGAGGAGGACGAGGAGGCAGAGGGAGCCCTGGTCACAGCTGTTCAGGATATCATTGGTGACCTTGACCAGTGCAGTTCCTGTGCTATGGACAGCACTCCAAGGCACTATTCTGCATGAAGAAACTATTTAAATACTAATAATAACAATGCTTACATTTGATATAACATCTTGCATGTCGAGAGGACTCCCCAAAGCACTTTGTGCGATATAGTGTAAAATGCAGTGACTGTGTTTTGTGCTCAAACGCAAGTTGTTGTCATCGTTGTAAATCGGTGCTGATTGGTGAAACTTAGCACCACTGTATTGAAAACGACCCCACTGGCATCCCCCTTTGTACAACAACAGTTTATATTTTTTGTAACACTTTTGATATTGTGGAGGACATCTCAAAGCTCTTCCTGCAACTGAGATGTGAAGAGTGTGAGATTCAGTCAGTGAGTCAGTCAATCCCGAAGGACTGAGTGGAATCACACCAGCTTAGCACTCAAAGCCTGAACACTGGGGCAGGGTCTGCTAGAAGCAGAGGCAGCCTGTGTAGATGCCGAGTAGAAACCAAAGGCCGCTTGGTGCTGTCTGATCAGGCCTCCTACAGCTACAATATTGCCAATTGGAGTCAACCACGACCGGTTTGGTGCCGCCAGGTGTTTTCGAGCTGGAAAGCCACTGCCACCAAGAGGACCAAGGCTGACACACTCACTCCAGAACCTTAATGTCACCAGTAGAAATAAAGGTTACCCTAGTAAACACCAGCCGGTTCACTGAGGCTGCAGTGTGGTTTGGGTTTAACCCTGATGTAGTATTTATACAGCTGGAGGGACAGACACTTAACTGCTGTGTGGAGAGCAACATGAAGCCTGATCTAGAATTCATGTCCACATGCCTTTGAACTGCACAACACCAATTTGCATTTATTACAACACCCTTCATAGGGTACCCTAACATAGGGTAACCCCACTATAAAGCACAGCGTGACCCCCTCGAGTAGTACCACTTGCATTTATTGTAGGTGCACTGCAAATACTCGCTATTTTGCACATTCTGTTTCCAATGATAATTGTCCAGCTTCCCACAAGGGTGTTTTACAGGGCACTGTGACTCTGTCTCTCTTCTCTTCCCGCTCAGATTTTTGCGAACCCAATAACCTCTGCGATGACAAGCTGTTCCGGCAGAAGCGGTCGCCCCAGCCCAGCGATGTAGACCTGGACATAGCCTTTGTGCTAGATACCTCTGAGTCCACCAGCCCTGTCCAGTTCCTGGAGATTAAACGCTTCATTGAGTACATGACAGAGCAGCTTGAGATCAGCCCACAGCCCGCGGCATCGCAGCGACACGCCAGGGTGGCCGTCGTCCAGCACGCCTCCTACCACTTCCAGGCCAACCGCAGCCTAGCCCCGGTGCAGGTAGATTTCACCCTGACTGGCCACTCCTCTGCCACAGCCATCACAGAGTACATCCGGAACAAGATGGTGCTGCTGGAAGGGACCAGGGCCTTGGGCCATGCTGTCGAGTGGACCATCGCAAACGTTTTTGAGAAAGCCCCCCACCCTAGACCTCTGAGGGCGGTGGTCATCATAACAATTGGAGATCTGACGGAAGCTGAGAGAGAGAAGCTGGAGGTAGCGGTTACCAGAGCCAAGTGCAAAGGCTATTTCTTCATCATATTCAGCATTGAGGAGCAGATTAACAGGAAGAACCTCGCCTACTTGGCTAGCTTCCCTCACGATGTCTTCTTCAAGCACATTTCTGACACTTCTCAGTTGCATAGCGACGCTGTACTAAGGTTTGGCCGCCTCCTCCCTAAGTACCTCAATGGTAAGTGCCAGCCCCTCCCTCGCTAACAAATGAAGGGAGACAGTCAGTTAAAGGTAGCACGTCACCCACCAGCTGCCTCCTCATCCCCTGCCATTTTACACACTAACTAAAAGCAGGTTGTCCACAAGCCTTCCCAATTTATCCAGTGCCCTCTTCTACATGACATTACCCATCATCCTCTGCTCTAAGTGACCCTCTGCCTCAGTGGTTGGCCCCAGTCCAGGTTATTAAACCAGACTTCTGGTGTCTGTTTTTCTGTCTCTGTTCTATGGAGTTGTGGCGGCCTCGTTCCCCACATCACCCTGTTCTTGTAAAGGAGATAACAATACTCCTGACAACCTTCTGCCATGCTGAAAACACAACTGGCCCAGGGAAGGTGGAACTTGCCAGCAGTCTACCACTGGTGACTATGTGCAGCCCGAGGCAAGGCTGTGTATCGAGAGCTTGTCTGGAGAAAACCACCAACCTGACCGCACCCTCTGCTCTGCAAACTCTGGCCTGCTCCTCGTTTCCTGCCCTGCCTGCTCCACTATTGGCAGTTGGGCCTTCAGCCATTCTGCCCCCAGCCTCTGGAAGTCCATCCCCAGACTTCCTCCCCCTCGCCCCCTCCGTTGCCTCCTTCAAAGACTGTCTCAACCCTACTTTTCGACCGTGCCTTTGATCATCTTCCCTCCTCCAGCCCCCTTGCTCTCCACCCCTCTCTGATCCTAACCCACAGCTCGGGCGCAAACCCCTCATTTTTCTGCACCTTGGGACATCCTCTCAACTTGAAAGCCGCTGTATAAATGCAATTTGTTGTTGTTGTTGAGAGTTGAGAGGCCTTAAAGAAATGTTTTCTTCTCCCAGGTGAGAACACATTCTATTTGGCAACAGAGCTGCAGAAACAGTGTGAAAGGCTCCAGAGTGACGATGCGGGACCAGGCACTTGGGGAACTCATGTCAAACCCAGGTAAGCAGACCTTGTGGAGCAAACACTTTGTTAACCTGACACATAACCCAAGAGTTGAAGCTCTAATGTTTCTTTCTTTTACATCTCTAGTGACAACGAAATCTCTGTCGATCCACCGAAACTTGCAGGTACGTTATTTTGAGCTTCATATGAACCCTTCTGCTCAGGGCCAAGGCTGAAGTCCGTGACACAGCCCGCTGAGTCAGACGGATGTGGGATCAAGATCCACATCAGAAAATGAGCTCATCATCTAAGCTGACCCTCCAAAGCAGTGCTAGGAGTGTTTTGCATTGTTTTGCATCATCCTTCAGATGAGATGTTAAACTGTGGTCCGTTGAGGGCCCAATAGTCTTCTTTTAATTCTACCAATATATTGCTAATCCAGCTAGGTGTAGAAAGCATCCCTGGCAGAGAGCTGTGGCACTGAGGCTGATTGTAACTGAAAATCAGCGAACTAATGACAGACCAAGAATCAAATCGGTCCAGTCTGTGTGGCTTTGTGCTTCATTGAGCACTTTTGTTTCCTCACAAGGCCATCAGAGGAGCTGCCAAACAGTCCTTCCTTGTTCCATGTTTTGTCTCTACTATTTCAATGAAAATATTTTTCCCTTTGGTTGAAAACTCTTCATCTGCGTCTTCTTCCTTTTCCCTTGCGTTCACAGAACCAGGCACAGATTTCTCGGTGTCCAACGTGACAGAGGACAGCATCTTCTTGAAATGGGGCCAGGCAGAGCCACAGGAGATCCATTACTATGAGGTCACTGTGGTCAAAAGCAACCAGAACCTTCTTATCCTGAAGACCAACGTCACTAAGCCAGAGATCTTCCTGAAGGAGCTAGAAGACGGGCAGATGTATGATGTGCTGGTGACGGGATTCTATCATTCCAAGGCCAAAACCTTTTATAACAGCACCTTTACAACCAGTAAGTCACCCTTAAATAATAATAATAATAATAATAATAATCCTTGCATTTGATATAGCGCTTTTCACGTCGGGAGGACGTCCCAAAGCGCTTCACAGAATATACTGTAAAGTGAATTGACTGTATATTTGTGGGCGAACGCGGCAGCCAATTGCGCACAGCAATGTCCACAAACAGTCGTAGATTGAAAATGACCAATTTATTATTGTTTTGGGTTTTTTGGAAGGATTATTATTAGGCGTGTGGAGTAAGGAAACTTGCCCAAGGTTTCGCCCTGCCTGGAATTGAACCCAGGTGTCTTGCTTGCAAAGCAAGTGCTCTAACCACTGAGCTACAGGACTCCACAATGAACAACACAAATGAACAACACAAATTGTTCACAAATGAACAACACTGAGAGAGTCAGAGAGAGGCGCTGACTTTTCCTATTGATATTGATGCTAAGAATGTAATATTTTCTGCTGGAGTCTAAATGAGATTCTATCCCGGTCAATCGTACAGTTATAGTTGGTGTACACCTGTCCATCAACTACAGCACAGGTTAGGTACAGAGTAAAGCTCTCCCTGCACTGTTGTTTCAACACTCCCAAGTCAGCAACAGCATTGGTTAGATATATAGGAAAGCTCCCTCCACGCTAGATACAGAGTAAAACTCCTTCTATGCTATCCATCCAGCGCTCAATAATTGGTGGATGGAGCCCATTGAGTAAATGTGGGTTTCATTCCAGAATGAATTGTAGGATTATTATCTACAATTGGCGAGATTCTATCCCAGTGAATCAAACCCTCATTTCTCTCCCAATTCCAGAAAGCTCAGCCAACAAAAGCAGCCCCATCATTCTTGGACAGGAGCCGCTAGAGAACCCGGAGACAGGTAAGTGGAAATCATCGCTTCTGCGCTAACACCAGCAGGAGAGGGGGGCAGGCAGACAGCCTGATGGGGCTAAAATGGGGTTAGAGCAAATCGAGACTTCCCACTCAGTTGCCTTAAAGGCAAATGAAATAAACGTACTGTAGTATATTACAGTTACCGTGTATATAGTTCAGCAAAAATGCTGCCACCTCGGGAACTCCCTCCGTCTCGCTCGCTCTCTATCTGTTTTTAAATCTTGCCTAAAAATTTACTTCTTTCACCATGTCTATGGTCACTTCGTCGTACTCCCCTCTTTGGTGTCCAACACCGTCCCTGTCGAGCGCTCTGAGATGTTATCCTAGGTAAAGGGCGCTATATGATTGCTGTTATTGCTGTATTTACGGGGTGTACTGCAATGAGCTTTGTATTTGGCAACTTCTGAGTCACATTGTGAACAGTGAGGGTTGTGCTCGGTCAGTCAAATAGCAAGGTCACCTGATATTGTCAGCACCGTGGTCGCCCCTCTGCCAACGCTCGCGCTCTCTTGCCTCTGCTTTACACAGCTAAGGCCTTTAATATGCCCATTTCCCAGCTACGTCCCACACTGCAATTTCCTAAACAACAACAAAATTACATTTGTAAAGCACCTTTCACGTCGGGAGGACGTCCTGGGCGCTGAACAATTGGGGATCAGGACCTGAGCATGGAGGGGAGGGGGGCAGGGTTGGGATGAGGGAGGGCAGAGAAGTAGGAGGGTGTCTGAAGGGACGGTCGAAAAGGAGCATCTTGAGTCTTGCTTTGAAGGAGGTAAAGGATGGAGTAAGGAGAAGGGATTGGCCGCCAATGGTAGGCAGGTCAGGCGGGAAACATGGAACAGGCTGGAGCCTGCTGAGCGGATGAAGCGGACAGGTTGATTAGGGGGTCAACAGGTCAGAGATGCAGTGGGGGTAAGGCCGTGGAGCACCTAGAATGTGAGGACGAGGATTTTGAATTCTATCCTCTGAGGGATGGGGAGCCAATGTTGCCGGGTGAGGGTGGGGGTGATGGGTTACAGAGCCTGGTAGTGGAGAGGACACGAGCTGCAGAGTTCTGGATGATCTGCAGCTTTTGGAGGGAAGAGTTGGGGAGGTCGACAAGGAGGGAGTTTCCATAGTCGAGTCTTGAGCTAACGAATGCATGCATGAGGGTTTCAGCAGCCTGAGGGGTGAGGCAGTGACAGAGTCAGGCAATGTTGCGGAGGTGGGGGAAGACAGAGCGGATCATGGTACGGATATTGGGGAGAAATGACAGTTGAGGATCGAACAAGACGCTCAGGTTCCTGACTGCTTGGTGAGGTGGAGTGTTCATCCATGGATGCTGATGCTGCCAGTGCCTGAGGTGCATAGGCGCTGGCGAGAGCCAATCAGAAGGGCCTCGGTCTTGCTGACATTCAGCTGTAGAAAGTTGACTTTCATCCAGGACTTGATGTCTGCCAGATTGTCTGTCAGGACGTCAGTTGTCCTGGAATCAAGGGTGGGGACAGAGAGATAGAGTTGGGTGTCACTCGCATACATGTGGAAGTTGACCCCCATGTCTGCGGATGATGTTACCAAGTGGGAGCTTGTAGAGTTTGAAGAGGAGGAGGCCGAGTACAGAGTCCAGAGGATCACCGCACAAGACTGCAGGGGCTGAAAGGGAAACCCTTGGTGGAGACAAATTGGAGACGGTGTGAGACATAAGACCTGACTGGAGGGGCTCGTGCAGGGAGTGGTAGGACAGGAATGAGTGAAGCTGGGAAGCAATGACTCTTTCAAGGAACTTAGAAAGAAAAGGAAGATTGGAGATGAGCCAGTAGTTAGAAAGCAGGGATGGGTGTGATTCCCAGCAGGGCGAAACCTTGAGCAAGTTTCCGTACTCCACACACAAAAGTGCTACCTCAAATGCAAGGAATTATTATAGAATTATTATTATAGTTATTTTTAGGCGGATGGGAATGGTGCCAAATAATAGGGAGAGATTGATGGTGTCGGAGAGTAGAGGGGCGAGGAGGTGTAGCTAGGAATAAGGACGCTGCACACTGTGATCTCCTCAGAGGGATACATTGCATGGCCTTTGCCCTCTCAACACCTCCTGTGTACAGTAAAGTAAAACTTGCGTTGGTCTTAAATCGTATAATTGCCTGAGTCTTACATGCACCTGAGTCCCATTCAGTTTCCTATCAAAACCACTTAGATTTCTTTGCACTGTTGTATGAATCATCTCTTAACTCGTAACACCACTCCTCTATCCTCCATTACTCCCACATTTACTGGTTGCATTAAAACGCTGGAAATTATGTCCTGTCCTGACATGTGCACTTACCAACTGGCTGCATTGAATTACGGGAAGCGTAGTTTTGATCCTTTGCCGCTTTTGCAGAAGAACTTAATTTCCCGCAATTCAATGCAATTCCAATCCTTGCCAGTAAGTGCGCATGTGGCAAAGGGTTCGCAGGCAACGTAGTCTTGATCCGTCACCATATGTGCACTTACCAGCTGCATTGAATTACACATGCGTGATGTAGATTATTGATTAAATTGGATTTTATACAATTTAAACAGGTTTGTCTGCAACTCAACTTCGCATAAGCCATATTACATGGTATGGTGGAGTCCTGTAGCTCAGTGGTTAGAGCACTCGCTTTGCAAGTGAAAGACCTGAGTTCAATTCCAGGCAGAGGGCGAAACCTTGGGCAAGTTTCCTTACTCCACACGCCTGATAATAATCCCTCCAAAAACCAAAAACAATAATAAAAATTGGTCATTTTCAATCTACGACTGTTTGTGGGACATTGCTGTGCGCAATTGGCTGCCGCGTTCGCCCACAAATATACAGTCAATTCACTTTACAGTGTGTTCTGTGAAGCGCTTTGGGACGTCCTCCCGACGTGAAAAGCGCTATATCAAATGCAAGGATTATTATTATTATATTATTATTATTATGGTCCCAAACTGATATGATTTATATGAGTTTTACTGCAGTATTCCAAACTCTGGGTACCTTCAAGGCCCGGAGATCAAGGCCCTAACTCAGCGTCAACAACTCTGCCAGCACCACTCACCCACCCAAAGACACCCCCTCCTCCTCTAGAGCATCCTCTTCTAAAGTAAGGGTCAGCATTTGGGTATTGATCATCCTCCCACCCACACCCTCTTAACTTCCACCCCTCTTGACTCCAAACCCCAGCTCGGGTGCAAACTCTCTATTGTCCAACGACTTGGGATGTCCTCCTGATGTGAAAGGCAATATGTGAAATCAATTTGTTGTGTTCTCTCTTGCATGGACAGTTTGCTGTCTGTTACCCTTTTTACTACACTACCTTCACCTTCTCACCATCGACGCCCAGTTCAGTTGGCTTGTATTATCCTGCCCTCGTATGGTGGGGGGAGTGCTAAGGTCAGCCTTTTTGGGAATCAGTATCTGGAAGGAAGACCATCAGAAGCTGATGTTGCCCACTTCAGTGCAAGGTAATGGCACTGTGTCTTCTAAAGGGTTCTGATACTGTAATGTTTTTAGGCAGATGGGAACAGTGTCAGATGATAGGGAGAGACTGTATGCGCTGATTGTATGTTATGAGGGTATATAATGGTGTCACAATCATATTTCATAGGAGAAGTGTATGTGTTAGTGGCTCTCATTCACTCCCACGAGCTATGGGATTAGATGGAGTATTCGGTATAGCTGTAAAAAATATGAATCTGACGCAGCACAATACTGAAAGCATTTTGTGCTTGTTTCACCTGCTTTTCTCCTAAATGTGTTGTTTTGTGTAACATTATGGTTTTGAACCTATTGTCACTGGATGCCCACATACTGGACAGGGAGCAGGAGCCCTGGTTGATTTCTTCCCTTCCCCTTGTAGCCTAGCAGAGTACTGAGGCAGATTGTAAGCATCCTAACAATTAGATCAGCTAACTCAGCACAGACTGCAGGCTTTGAATCTCAGACTTTCTGGTCTTTGTGCTTGGCACTGCCACAGAAGTCATCTTTACGCACTAGGTTAGCAGGGTAGGTGGAGGTCTGGGAGCAATCTAAACAGCAACTATAATCAGAGACGAAAGAACATAAGTTTGTATATTTATATCCATGTATCACATTGAAATATCTCAAAGCACTTTACAGAAACCGTTGTTCAGTGTTAATGACTGTTTTTGTAGCAAAACACGACAGCCAATTTGTACAGAGCAATGCCCCACAAACGGCCATAAAGTAAATGGCTGATTAAAATGGAGGTATATTGGCCAGGACACCAGGGGAAAACTTTCCTTCTCTTTCTGAGTAGCGTCATGGAATCTTTAACACCCACCTGAACAGGCAGACAAATGCACTGCACTGAAGCGTCAGCCTGGACTATCAGCTCAAAGCCTTGACATAGGGCTTGTTCCCATAACCTTCTGACTCAGAGGCAAGCAAACAACCTACCGAGCCAGACTGACACCTAATTCTAATAAACATAATTTTACTGGATTTTAATGCCAGTTCCAACTCCTGCTCAGAATTAAGCACCTCTCTTAAAAGAGGTGGGTCATGCAGGATGTCAGTTGTCACCAAATGTATAGGACATGTCTCCAAGAGAGGTTCTTATTCTGGGCAAAGTTTTTTTTCTCCCTCTCTGCAGGCATTTCATACCAATCTTGTGTTCAGTCAGTCAAGGATTAATCTTTAATTTTAGATGTTTGCAATCCTAAATGTGAGGATTATTATTTTTAAAAACAAATTATGCTGCCCATAGCACAGAAACTGCCCTGGTCAAGGTCACCAATGACATCCTGAACATCTCTGACCAGGGCTCCCTCTGCCTCCTCGTCCTCCTCGACCTATCGGCAGCATTCGATACGGTCGACCACGCTATCCTCCTCCACCGCTTGTCCTCCCACCTCAACCTTCAAGGCCCTGTCCTTGAGTGGTTTAGGTCGTACCTCTCCCACCGTCTTCACTTTGTTTCCACGAATGGTTTTTCCTCCACCCCCCCGCACTGTCTCGTGCGGTGTCCCTCAGGGCTCTGTCCTCGGTCCCCTCCTCTTCACCCTCTATATGCTCGCCCTTGGTGACATCATCCGCAGACATGGGGTTAACTTCCACATGTATGTGGATGACACCCAACTCTACCTTTCCTCCTCTACCCTCAACTCCACGACCACCGATGTCCTGACAGCTGCCTGTCCGACATCGAGTCCTGGATGAGAGACAACTTTCTTCAGCTCAACGTGCGTAAAACTGAGGCCCTCCTGATTGGCTCACGTCAGCGCATCCGCACCTCAGGCGCTGACAGCATCAGCATCCAAGGCTGCACTCTCCACCTCTCAAAGCCAGTCAGGAACCTCGCTGTTCGACCCTGAGCTGTCCTTTCTCCCTCATATCCGTGCCACAACTGGCACCGCCTTCCATCACCTCCGGAACATCGCCAGACTACGGCACTACCTCACCCCTCATGCTGCTGAAACTCTGGTCCACGCCTTTATCACCTCAAGGCTGGACTATGGGAACTCTCCCCTCGCCGGCATTTCCGGCACCTCCCTCCACAAGCTGCAGGTCATTCAGAACTCTGCAGCTCATGTACTGTCCCGCACCAGGCTTCGCGACTACATCACTCCCACCCTCGCTCGCCTCCACTGGCTCCCCATCCCCCAGAGGATCGATTTCAAGATCCTCATCCTCACCTACAAGGCCATTAACGGCCTTGCTCCCTCCTACCTTTCCGACCTACTATCCCCCTACCTACCTGCCCGTACCCTCCGTTCCTCTGGCTTCGGTCTGCTCCACATCCCCCGCCTCAACCGCCCTACCATCGGTGGCCGAGCCTTCAGCCTCTCAGCCCCTGGGCTCTGGAACTCTATCCCCCAGTGCCTTCGCCGCCTTCCCCCTTTCCTCCTTCAAGGCTGGTTTGAAACCTTTCTCTTTGACCGTGCCTTCAGCGACCCTCTCGACTCTCTACCCCCTCCTCGCTCCCTCCCCTCACCCGACCACTTCCCCCTTGCTCGGGTCCTGACCCAACTGTACAGCGCCTTGGGACGTCCTCCCGACGTGAAAGGCGCTCTATAAATGGAATCTTGTTGTTGTATAGTAAAGCTGGAATGAATTCTAAGTTGGAATTTGTGGATCTGACTGTGCTAAAAAGTACATGGTGCTTAAGACTATGGAGTGTATTTTCACGTACCAGGAGGGCAATGAAGTTCAGTAATTAGCCAGTATCTGACTTTACAACAGTTAATGTGTTCGGCATTACAAGCACAGAGAGGAAGGCAATAAAAGAGTAAGATAGCTTACTTAGTTACTGCAGCAAAGGGCTCTGCAGGAATTACTTTTCCCTCTCCTCACAGCTCAGTTGGCAAGTGCGTTGGGACACAGCTAAAAGTCCCAGCTCCAACCACAACACTGCTGAGTTAGCCCTTTGGTGACAGTGTTTGGGGTTCTAACTAGTCTCAATGCCTCAGGAGGGAAGGGGAGATAGGGGATGGGAGTAGAGCAGGATGAGGAGAAGGAGAGGGTGGAGATGGGCAAAGAATGAGTGTGGAGAAGGGGAGAGGGAAGGAGTTCAAACCATTCCTGAGGCCTCTAATAACCTCTTGGTCTTAACCTCAAGATCACTGACACAAAATTTAAGATTGTGCAGAATTTTGGAAAATTTCTTGAACTCAATTTTAATGTTGAAGTCAGTAACCCAGAGGGAATTGTGGAAAACTGGCTTCCAAGTTGAGATTGAATTGAAGAATTCAGTCAAATCCTGTACAAACTTACTTCATCAGATGTACTCTTAAGGCCAAGACCACAAGACATTTCCGGCCCCTGATTGACCTTCTCTGGCAAATGGTATATGTGATGGTTGTTGAGGAACAGGATAGATCTCCTCTTGGTACTATGGTGCACAGAGATAGAGCCCTCTGCTGTTGAACAGTTGGCCACACTGCGATCTAACATGCGCTAATGACTAGCGTTTTATTCCACGGTTACAATGAAAATTGCATTCTAAGATGAAGAGAGTCTGTCTGTCTGATTGTATGTCCTGGCCAAGAATCCCCCAGATATAAAAAAAGGGTTGTGGGAGATTGCTGTATGCAAATCAACTGCTGCATTCGCCTACAAATACACATTTACTGCACTTTGCAGAAAACTCTTTTTGCAGAAAAACTTTGCAGAAAAGTGCTTTGAAATGGTTTCAACACAATACGACGCTATATCAGGTTGCAAAAATAATTATTGTAAAAATCCTTTCATTTCAGCACCATATACAGTACCATATCATGTCATTGAGTCGTCTCAAAGCGCTTCTACAGGATATACTGTAAAATTGATTGACTGTGTAATTTGTAGGTTGTGTCTGCCTGTTCATGTGGATATTAAAGATCCCATGGCACTATTTGAAAGAAGAAGGAAGTTTCTCCTGGTGTCCTGGCCAATAAATCTTCCAAATAAAATCGGTCACTCACTCCATGGCTATTTGTGGGACATTGCTGTGTGCAAACTGGCTGCTGCGTTTTGCCCTCAAAATACACAATACACAATTCACTTTACAGTATAATCTGTGAAGCGCTTTGATATGTCTCGATGATGTAATAAGGTATTGTACCAAATGCAAGGATTATTATTATTACAATGGGGTTCCACTGTATTTCACAAACCATCCCTCCCTGTTTTTATTTAGCTGTGGCCAAGTGTGCCCTGGGTTATTAATTGCTCATATTTTTGCGTGTAAATTTCACAGATCGGTGCATGCTGGATTTTGACTCGGGATCTCGGTGTTTGGAATATCTTGCGAAATGGTTCTTTGACGGGAAAAACAAGATCTGCACTCAGTTTTGGTATGGGGGCTGTGACGGTAATGCCAATAGGTTTGATACAGAAGCCGAGTGCCTTAGAGAGTGCGGCAAATCATGTAAGTACAGTGGCCGTCAGGGAACCTCCCTCTCTGAGCACCACCCACCTCCCCCTTTACTCCCCACTCCATTGAAATTAAATTCAGACAGTTAAGAGTGCAAGACAAAATTCCGCGTATTTATAAAGCGATTGGTTTTCTTCAACAGTGCCAGAGAGGAGCACATCAGAATCTGTGGGTGAGGAAAATTCGCTGCCAGGTAAATGAGCGCTCAAGTTAACCCCAGGTCCAGTGTGACGTGCACACTGGATCTTGTATCTTATAGTCTGCATTGGGTCTGGTACCAATTTAGCCATGTGTGCCCATGATGATCAGTGTGATCTGGAGAGGAGGAGGAAGGAAGAAGAGACTGAGCAAGGACAGGGAGACAGAAAGCAGGGAGAGAGAAAGAGGAGATGGGAAAAGGCAGGGGAGACAGACAGGAGATGGGATAGAGCAGGGGAGACAAAGCGAAGACTGGATAGTCTGGAAGAGACAGACAGGACATACAGATGCTCTTTGTCATGCTCGCCCCAAAATACACAGTGTATTTGCTATGAAGCTCTTCAGGACGTTTTGATGAGATGAGGGGCTAGATCAGATGCAAAGCTTATTCTTGCTGTGAATAAAAGAGCAGCAAAACCAACAACTTTTGACTAATGTTAAACTAACCTGCCTTGTTGAACCCTTGCCATTGGCCATATTACAACTTAAGGCACTAAAGAGATTCCAGATCTAGGGATAGGTCAATAAAACTGAATTGAAGGATTGGGGCTGCCACAGCCAAAAGTGTCTTGAACTACGTCCAAGTTGCAAGCTCAGATTTTCCAGTTTGGCTTCGTCCCGTTGTTTTATTCCCTGCTCACTGCCAAAAGAAGATGCTGAATCTGCCCAGACACACAACAGACGTCAATTGAAATCTAACATTAGAAACGGACTCAGAGATGATAGCACATGGAGCTTTTTTTATTGTGGTGGGAGGGATGATCCTTTCGAGGTCAATGAATGGACAGGCTAGAGTGGAGGAAGAATCCCAATGTCCGCTGGTCTGTAAATCTGGGAGACATCCAACAGGGAAACTCGTTATGGGTGAGTCTCTTTCTCCTCCTTCAGGGAGCCCCTGTGCTGGCAGCTTAAGCTGTCCCAGACAAAGCATGGTTATTCTTTCGGTGCTTCAAATACAGCTCAGCTGCATTCCAGCTACTAAACCATATTTGGAATTTAAAAAAATGCATTGAAGTTGATGAATTTCACCCACTTTCACACTGCATTATCCAAACAGTCAGTTTTGACAGGTCAACAGATGAGAATAATGGATTTTGGAAAAGCCTGTTACAAGAGGCATTTTTTTTAGCTTAGAATGTTATCTGTAATATTTCAACTCTAAATGCCTTAATGTCATGCAAGGGCATAAATTCAGGGGTTGCTTTCATCAAAGATTTCCCCACTTTTGGGACTAGAGAGTTGGATTAACGTGAACAGAAATGCAGTCAGTAACACGGGAGTTTCAGAGCCCGAGAATGCGTGCGAGCTTGAATAACATCAGTAGAGATAATCAGTAATGCAGAGTGCTGGCTGGGTGCTGTTAGTGAGCCTGTCAGTATGAAGTAGCTCATGATAAAATAAGCAGATCTCTGTGGGTCTTTCTAAGAACTGCAAAGACCTGAGACTCAGACTCAATTTAAGATAATTTTCCAAAGTTGTGAAACAATCTTAAGGATAAGATTAGGTATAATTTGGGGTCTCAAGTGGATAATTTGTAAAGACCAGGTTGACGGCGTGTTGTTTACACGTGGGGTGGGAGTTGGAGAATGGGGATGGGTGGGAGCCTTTGAACTTCACAGGTTCCAAGGTGACATTTTTGGCAATGGAATGTTGCATTTGAGTCAACCCTCTGAGGTGGTCTCTAGTTGAATTCCTGAGCCAGATGGCTCTGCAGTACTCTAAGACACTGCTGATGACAGCACAGCCAGCCTCATTGGCTCATTGGCAGGACTTAGAGGAACAGACCAAATGTGAGGAGAAGGGATTCTTCACACTGAGCTCATGTTAACCCTACAAGCCAAAGCCCTAACTGGTAGGATGGTCGTAGCCGAACAAGGAGCAGGAACTTTGCCAGATAGTGCTCTCAATGGCAAGTTATGTAGTTTTAGCCAGTTAGATTCAAGGAGATACCCCAACGCATACTCTGGGGTCCCTCAATGCTTAGCTCTTGTCAACCTGGGGCTAATACTCTCTGGAATTAGATAAGTGAGATGCAGCTACACAGGGAGAGAATACGCATTCCATTTCAGACACGGGGATCTGCATGTGGCAAAGATAAAATAATAAATCATTATATCTAGATAGAATAATAATAATATTATTATATCAAGGTTTATTGTGTTCGGAGACAATGACCTTCACAATTCCAAAGCTCTGAGCTGCATTTTTTTCCTGCAGACTGGCTAGAGTCTGTGGAGTAAGTTCACAGCTGTTTTCAGCATCTGGTTTGCATTGCGCAAACATCCTGAGCTATTAAAGCTGACAGCTCACTCCTCAAAACTCTCCACTCCTCATTTCTTTGCATCATCAGCAGTTGCTCAGTACGGAGGGTCAGGCTGCCTTGGTGGGTAGCCTCGAATTTAAGCCTTACTTGGGTCTTCATCTTACATTTTACCCAAATTTCTCCCTTGTATCAACAACAACAACAAATTATATTTATACAGTGCCTTTCATTTCAGAAGGATGTCCTGATGGTGGTCTAAATCCATGGGATTATTTTATTGTAAAATTTAAGATGGAAAAATCAGTCTTAATTCGGAAGCGGTTTTAATAATAATAATTGTTGCATTTGATACAGTGTCTTCCACATCAGGAGGATGTCTCAAATCGCTTCACCGTAATCACTATAAAGTGAAGTGACTGTGTATTTTGTGGGTGAACGCCATAGTTATTAAGAGTATAAAAAAAACACACAAAGAATGAATTTAAGAAATTTCCCCAATTCTACAATATCTTACATTTTAAGTAAATACTCTCATAGGCAAAGTGGAATTTCTGGGCTGTGTTGTCGGAGGTTCTGTCCTTCACATGAGCTATTAAACTGAGGTTCCATCAGCCTATGAAAGATTGCACAGCACTACTTAACAAAAGGGGCAGAGACCATCTGAGGCCTATGTTCTTCTCTCAGCCAAATTCACCATTATACAGAATAATTGTCATTCAATGCTGTTCGTGAGATGTTGCTGAGGCAGATGAGTTGTACATTTCAAATGGCAAGCCAGCGTGCGGTACGCTGCTCTCTAACAATCATGGTCCTTTGGCTCTATCTGTCTGAAGGGATTTACTGCTGGTGGGGTGCTACTAAGTGAACATTAGCTGCTGCTTTCACTGGCAATACAACACTTGCTACATTTCAAACCATCTCATTGTTTGAAGTGCTTTACGATACTATTAAAAGAGTTATGTGCTAATCAAGAAGCCTGACTAGGCAGAGCGCTGTACTGTACATACCCCTGTATCGGTCAGGGGTAAAACAGAGCTTTGTGTTGTATATACCTGCATCAATCCAATGGTATAACAGAGCTCTGTGCTGTCTACAGTATACCCGTGTCTCAGTTGGGTGGTATAACAGAGCCCTACCCAGTATGTAATACAGTATAATATAATTTACATTTATATAGCGCCTTTCACATTAGGTGGACATCTCAAAGTGACTGCTGGCTAGGTACCCAAGCTGGGTGTGGGATTTGAAGAGGGTTGTGGTTGGGAAAGTTAACCAAAAGTGCGGTCAAAGAGTATGTTCCACAGTCTAAGCTGGGTGGTATAACTCGGCTTCTAATACTTCTGGAACTTGTGGAGTCCTGTGGCTCAGTGGTTAGAGCACTCGCTTTGCAAGTGAGAGACCTGAGGTCAATTCCAGGCAGAGGGCGAAACCTTGGGCAAGTTTCCTTACTCCACACGCCTAATAATAATTCCTCCAAAACAAAAAACAATAATAAATTGGTCATTTTCAATCTACGACTGTTTGTGGGACATTGCTGTGCGCAATTGGCTGCCGCGTTCGTCCACAAATATACAGTCAATTCACTTTACAGTGTCTTCTGAGAAGCGCTTTGGGACGTCCTCCCGACGTGAAAAGCGCTATATCAAATGCAAGGATTATTATTATTAACTACAGTTAATTGAGCTATATATTAAAAGGTGCTATAGGGAAAGAGATTTGAGAGTCCTAAGGACAGTATTATCCCCAGTGGTAGGATCCAGGTGGGTTATAATCTAGAGACGAGTGGAGCGTGGGGCAGTGACAGGAGAGTCCTGCTTGGGTTGTGGCAGGAACTGGCTATGCACATCTCCGCGCCTCACAGCTTCTCAATCTCGGGAATCTCTCTCTGGAATTCTCAGTTTGATTTGGATAATCTGAAGCATGGTGATGGGTTTCTGCATGTGTCAGACACCCGGCTGACCAAAAAAAACATGCTGGCAACAATGAGCTTTAAATATAGCAGTGTGATATCAGTTACAGCAATGCAGTATTAGTATAGCGACATCAGCACAGAGATCCAATATCAGTGTAGTGATGTGTAGAGAGAGACAAGTTTATCCTTATCACTTGCCTGGGACCAGACAAAAATTCTGTACATGCGCGTTGATGAACATTGAGGGTCAGGACAGATAACTGAGCCGTATATCACTGCCACGCAGTCAGAGGGAGGCAGAGAATGGCAGTATGAGGGTGAAAGAGAGGAATGTTTGTTTCATTTAGTTTCAGGCTTTAAAGAATCAGGAAAAGATTCTCCTCCTGGATCGCGTCAGCAACTCCGTACCTCAGGCACTGGTAACATTCAACGATGCACTCTCCAGCTCACCAAGCCAGTCAGGAACCTAGGCATCTTGTTCAACCCTCAACTGTCCTTTCCACCCACATCCGTGCCATGACCCGCTCTGCCTTCCCCCATTCTCCGCAACATTGCTCAATTCCGCCACTGCCTCACTCCTCAGGCCGCCGAAACCCTCATACATACCTTCATTACAACCAGGCTTGACTATGCCAGCGCCCTGCTTGTTAGCCTTCCTAACTGTTCCCTCCACAAGCTGCAGATCATCCAGAACTCTGCAACTCGTGTCCTGACCCGCACCAGGCTCTGTGACCCCATCACACCCGCCCTCGCCCGGCTCCACTGGCTCTCCATCCCTCAGAAGATCGAGTTCAAAATTCTCGTCCTCATCTTCAAGGCCCTCCATGGCCCTTCCTACCTCTCCGACCTGCTAACCCCTTATCAACCTGTCCACTCCCTTTTCTCAGCAGGCTCCAGCCTGCTCCATGTTCCACGCCCGGCCCGACCCACCATCGGCAGTCGGGGCCTTCAGCCTCTCTGCCCCCACCCTCTGTAACTTCATCCAACATTTTCTTCACCTTGCTCCCTCTCTTGCCTCCTTCAAGGCCCCACTCTTCGACCATGCCTTCGGTCACCCTCCTAATCTCTCTGACCTCCACCCTCCCTGAGCCCAACCCCCCCAGGCTTGGGTCCTAATCCCTAACTGTTCAGTGCCTTGGGATGTCCTCCCGACGTGAAAGGCGCTTTACAAATGTAATTTGTTTCGCATTTTGTATTGTATTGCTCATTCCTTCAGCGATGCGATGTGGCAGTTCAGAGCCACAGGCTGAGTGAGGATATTTCCAGCTAAACCTGGAGTGACAGGAAAATAACAGGAGTCATTGCAACATAGCAATCTGAGTCTGGCCTCCGACAACACCCAACCTATTCTATAAGTAAATCACCGAAAAAACCCTGATTAGATTCCAGCCCAGGATCTGTTATTCCATATATAACCACCCAAACTCTTGGATTGGGTTCCACACTACTGGGATACTGTATCAGTTATTCTCTGTATATAGTAAAATTCACATAAGTCACACAGTGGGGACCATAACATTTAATATGATTTACCCGAAGTATGAGTTATATGGAAACTGTATAAATTTTATAAAATCTGATTTAATCCATAATCTACACTGCTCGTGCATAACTCAATGTTCTATAAATGTACATGTGGTGATGGTCAAGACTGTATTTCTCGCGATTCAATGTAACTGGTAAGTGTGGAAGTAATGGAGGAAAGGGCAGCTGTGTCACGAGTTAAGAGATGATTAACATTACTAGTGCAAAGATATCCAATGGTTTTGATAGCAAACTGAATGGGACTCTGGTGTTTATACGAGTTAGATAATTATATGATTTCTAATTATGAGGGTTTGCACATTTATTGTATATATATCCCTGAGCCCCACCCCCCAGAGTAGATTCCTGCCTGTAACTCACTCCCAAGATGTGTGTGTGCATTCACACACACATCTTGGGAATCCTCTCCTTTCTGCACCATCATTATAAGCTTTACCTTTAACCCCTTACAATTATTCTCTACTTGTTCTCCGTAATAATCACTCAAATAAAAAACAATAATAATTTGATAACTCAATCCCCTGTTTGTGGGGCACTGCTGTGCACAATTGGCTGCCAAGTTTCACCCACAAATATACAGTCAATTCATTTAAAAGTATATTCTGTGGAGCGCTTTAAGAAGTCTAGAAGACACGAAAAGCACTATATAAAATGCAAGGATTATTATATATTATTATTAGTTACAGACATTTGTCAGCAACCGCGGGATGAAGGAATGTGCCGAAACTTTGTCCTGAGGTGGTATTACGACACAAAAAGCGCGGAGTGCACACGCTTCTGGTATGGTGGGTGCAATGGAAACCAGAACAGGTTCAACACGCAGGATGAGTGTGCCAAGAACTGTACAAAAGGTAATCCACCTGGTCCCATTGCTCTTCAGCTGTGTAATAAGTAACGTTCACTTTCTGTTTTACTCCACTGAGTCCATACGGAGGCAGCAAATGGGTTAGAGTTTGTAGGACGTTGCTGTGTGCAAACTGGGTGCTGTGTTCGCCTACAGAGTACACAGTCACTACACTTTACACTTCCTAGAGAGCTGCGCTAAGCACTTCGAGATTTTCAAACATAATAGGCGCTACGGGACACGGGACTTGCTTAGTGCACTGGCCTTGCAAGCGTGAGGACCCAGGTTTGATTCCCAGGCAGGGCGGAACCATAAGCAAGTTTCGTTACTCCACCTGCCTCTGTTTACCTAGCAGTAAGTAGGAACCTGGTCGTTAGTTGATTGGAGGATTGGTTTTCAGAGTAATAATCCCTCAAACAAAAAGAAATGTGTTCACTCAATTCACAACTGTTTGTGAGACATTGCTGTGCACAATTGGCTGCCGTGTTTCACCGACTTTACAATATATTCTGTGAAGTGCTTTGAGATGTCTCAACAACATGATAAAGTACTATATCAAATGCAAAGATTAGTATTAGCACCAAATGCAAGGATTTTTATTATATTGTTGACTGAAAGGCCATGGTGTAAGTCAATGTCTATTGTCCTTTTTAGGTCAGGTTCCACCTGGTATGGTAAACACGATGGGAACGTAAAGAAACAGATCCCCTGGCCTACATACCTCTGATAGAAGCCAGTGTCAACGGCCTGTCCACATTCCCAATCCGCTGAAGGGTTCCACGGATACCTTACACTGTAACGCTAATAGCTTTCATTAACCCAATCTTGAAAAGTCTTCCCATTTGAAAAGCACAGTTGTTGCATGTTATTATGGTGCTAAAGTTTGTGTTGTATTCGTGGATAATTAATCCGTTCACTGTTGCACACATCCACGTTCAACCCAGCTTCTTTCATTTTCATCGGTCAGGTGTGTATGTTTGTATATGTACGTGTGTGCCACACACCGTGGTGTGTGTGCTTTTTATTATATACTTTCATTACATTTTCCACATTTCCTCTGACTATGCTCACCGCTTTTTCCTTTTTATTGGGTGTAAAAAAAATTAAAAAAACATAAAATAACAAGGTGGTTCTGGGACATGTCTTAAAGCTGGATTCTAACACAAGGTCAAGAATACGAGGGGGTTGGAAAGGTGGTGGGGGGTGGGAGTGTGGGAGGGGCGTGGGAACCATGGTAGGCTTCCATTGTATGTATATGCTTTGATCAATTTTTTAATCCAGGTGTAAATTAGCAGCATTCGCTGGCTGTATACAAACATAGAAAAATCGGAAAAGGAAGAGGCCACTCAACCCATTGAACCTGTTCCAACAGTTTACCAGATCTTGGAAGATCTTTTAATCTAAACGCTTCATCCTTTTGCCACACTCCTTAAAATCTGTACTGCCCAAGTCTCTCTCTCTCTTATCTTTTAAACATACTGATTAATTTCACCTCCACCGTATTCTGGGGCAGAGCTTTGGAACTCCTAACAACTCTCTGTGGGAAGCAATACTTTCATGACTTCAGTTAGTTCTGATTTTAAGGCCCTGCCCCTCGTAACAACTCGAGGGAAGAGTCATCCACTATCTAATCTGCCAATTAATTTCAGCTTAACTACGTTTTAAATACTTCAAATCACTCCTTAGCCTCCTCTGCTCTAGGGAATATAACCCAATTTACCCAGCCCCTTATCCTATCTTAACGCCCTTCAGACCAGCTATAATCTAGTGAACTGTTGCACCAGATATGAACTATCACGAAAATTGAACTTTCCTTTTTTTTCTAAGAAAAAAAAGTGCATTCAACTCTCGTCAGGTGAGGGTAGATTTATGTACCATTCTTAACAGTGTTTTTAACAATCTTTATTTTGCTAAGAAGTTTAAGAAGCTTTCCCAGTTAGTTATAAGTTGCATTTACAATATCAAATGCAAGCACTGTATTTACAAGGGCAGTGTGATGTCTCAGGGGTGCTTACTGTAGTACTGTAGTGGTTCTACAGACGAATGCAGATTCTGACAGCCACACAGAACCAGGGAAGGTTAAAACCCACACACATATAAGTACACATCAAAAGAACAAAAAAAAGTTGTTTAAAAATACTTGCTTTGTGAGGCTGAAGCCAGGAGATTGAGTGATTGAGTGATAAAACATTCTCTCTCTTTCTCACACACAAGCACACCCACACACACAACCAATAATACTTTCAAAAATACTATCAGGAATTCTTCCCTAGCACAACGCCAGGAAATTGAGTGCCCTAGGGGTGAATGTTTGTGTCATCTGATTGATGTCTTTTTACAACATTGTTACCATGTATAACTTTGCGGAAGATATGTACGTTCAAGAATGTTTCTAATAAAATTGATCTGAAATTTGACTTGTTTAGGGCTGGTGGCTTCTTTTTGTGCTTCTCAGACTGAGGGGTCTCTGTATTGTTGGTGCAAATGTTATCCTTTACACTGTTATTGGGTCTGGTGTCAGGACCTATCACTTCTAATTCAGGAGTTAAAAATATAGAGTGTAAGTAGGGTCCCTTAGAGCTGAACTGGCCCCAAAGGAGATGTCGGAATCGAGTCTCTGTGATGGTCTCTTGTCTGGTTCCTCAGCCAGGTGGATCCACAGTATTCCAGGGCACTGCTGATGATAGACTAACCCAGCCTGGCTCATCACCAGGACTAAGAAGGGCAAATCAGTCATTGGGGCAGGAATTCTTCCCACTCAACTCCTACTATCCCTAGAAGTCAAAACCATAATGGGTAAGGTGGTCCTAGTTGGACAAGCAGCAGGAAGCTTACCAGACAGAGCTTTCAGTGGCAAGCTATTCAGTTTTAGCTGGCAGATCTTTTAATCCCACTGCTTAATACTTCCATTAAAATTTACAGATAAAATTGGTCATTCATTTCATACCTGTAGGACACTGCTGTGTATAAATTGCTGCCTTCACCTACAACTACAAATCCACTACATGCCAGCATCAAAATACTGTGCAACATTTTGAGGCAGCAACAAATTATATTTGTATAGCGTTTTTCACGTTGAGAGGATGTCCCAAGGTGCTGGCCAGTCAGGGATTTGGACCCGAGAACAAAGTTGGGATCAGGGAGGGTAGAGGGCAGGGAGCATAGGGGTAGAAGAGTGGCCGAAGGCGCGGTTGAAGAAGAGTGTCCTGAGACGTGCCTTGAAGGAGGCAAGAGAAGGAGCAAGTCAAAGGGTCTGTGAAATGGAGTTCCAATGGATTGGGGCATAGAGATTGAAGGCCCGACCGCCAATGGTGGGGTGGGCTGGGCAGAGGACATGGAGCAGGCCGGAGCCTGCTGAGTGTACGGAGTGGATAGGTAGATATGGGGTTAGTAGGATCCATTGGCGGTACTTCACATAGGTACCAATGACATCGGTAGAGTAGGCCAAGATGACTTGAGAAGGGAATTTGAAGAGCTGGGGTCCAAATTGAAGTCGAGATCATCGAAGGTGGTATTATTGGGACTACTGCCTGTACCATACAACAATTGGTACAAGAACAAACAAATTAAGGACTTGAACACATGGCTAAAAGAGTGGTGCGGAACTCAGGGGTTTCTTTTTATGGACCATTGGCACGAATATTGGGGGAAAAGAGCTCTTTCGGAGAAAAGGGCTGCATTTAAATCGTGCTGGGACAAATGTCCTAGCTAAACAAATTAACAGGGAAATAAATAGGAATTTAAACAAGTAAAGGGGTGGGGGGGGGGGGAATATATAGGTAAGAGAAACCATAAGTTAGCATTAGAAAAAGTAAAGATGACCAGAATAGCATGCCAGATAATAGGAATATGTTAACTTGGGGTAAGAAGCTTGGCAAAGCAGATAAGGAATCAGAGAGTAAAGGAAATGGTAGGAAATTAAAAATGTTATATCTGAATGCGCGAAGCATTCGGAATAAAACTGATGAACTAAAGGCACAGATAGACACATATGGGTACGATCTAGTAGCCATCACTGAAACATGGTTACAAGGAGATCTAGGGTGGGAGTTAAATATTCCAGGGTTCTCAGTTTACAGGAAAGATAGGCACTGTGGGAAAAGAGGTGGGGGGTAGCCCTGTTAATTAGGGATGAAATAAAAGCAGTGGAGAGGAAGGATCTGAAATCCGATGACCAGGAGGTCGAGACAATATGGGTGGAAATAAAAAATAATAAAGGGCAGAAAATATTAATGGGAGTGGTTTATAGACCCCCAAACAGCGATCACAATATAGCACAGGGTATCAATCAAGAAATCAGTGGAGCATGTAGGAAAGGTAAAGCGATAATAGTGGGTGATTTCAATCTCCACATAGATTGGGAAAACCAAATCGGCAAAAGTAGGTCAGAAGAAGAGTTCATTGAGTGTATGAGAGATAACTTTCTAGAGCAGCATGCCGAGGAACCAACTAGGGGACAGGCCATCCTAGACCTTGTTTTGTGTAACGAAACAGGGCTAGTTGGCAGTGTAGGTATTAAGAATCCTCTCGGGCAGAGTGATCACAATATGATTGAATTCTGCATTAAGTTAGAGAGGGATATAGTTAAATCCGAGGCAAGTATTCTGAATTTAAATAAGGCTAATTTTGTAGGTATGAGGAAAGATTTAGGTAAAATAGACTGGAGAATAAGATTAAGAGGTAAAAATGTAGACCAACAGTGGCAAATATTTAAGGATGTAGTGCAAAATTCTCAGCGGTCGCATATTCCCTTGCGGAATAAGAGTACCACAGGGAAAGCAATTCATCCGTGGCTAACTAGAGCAGTTAGGGAAAGCATCAAATTAAAAGAAAAGGCTTATAAAACTGCCAAGAAAAGCGGCAAATCTGAAGATTGGGAGAGTTTTAGAAACCAGCAAAATAAAACTAAAAAACTCATTAAGAGTGAGAAAAAGGAGTATGAGGGTAAGCGAGCGAGGAACATTAAGTCTGATTGTAAAAGTTTTTGCAAATATATTAAGAGGAATAGGCTAGTGAGGGTAAATGTAGGTCCACTACAGTCAGAGACGGGAGAAGTTGTAATGGGGGACAAGGACATGGCAGAGTCCCTAAATGGGTACTTTGCATCTGTCTTCAACCTAGAAGACACAACAAGTCTGCCAACAATAGAGATGCACCAAAGGGATAAGGACAGGGAGCAACTTAGGGAAATTTTCAGTAGTAGAGAATTGGTGCTTGGGAAACTGTTAGCACTAAAAAGTGACAAATCCCCTGGTCCGGATGGCTTGCATCCCTGAGTTTTAAAAGAGGGAGCTTATGAGATAGTGGAGGCCTTGTGTCTGATCTTCCAAAATTCCTTGGATTCTGGAACAGTCCCCATGGATTGGAAGATCGCAAATGTCACACCACTATTTAAAAAAGGTGGAAAGGAAAAGATGGGGAACTATAGGCCAGTTAGTCTCACATCAGCGATAGGAAAAAATTTAGAATCGTTGATTAAGGATGTGGTAGTGCGGTATTTAGGGGAGCACAATACAAGTCAACATGGCTTTACAAAAGGGAAGTCATATTTGACAAATCTCATAGACTTTTTTGAGGATATTTCGAGTAAACTAGATAAGGGTGAATCAGTGGATGTGGTCTATTTGGACTTCCAGAAGGCATTTGATAAGGTGCCGCATAAAAGGTTAGTCCAAAAGATAAGGGCCCATGGAATTGGGGGGAGCATATTAACGTGGATTGGGGAATGGTTAACGGGTAGGAAACAAAGAGTAGGGATAAACAGGTCCTTTTCTGATTGGCGGGATGTGACTAGTGGAGTGCCACAAGGATCAGTCCTTGGGACTCAGCTATTTATAAGCTATAATCCTCACCACTGAGAGGAGTTGGTGGGGGCTCAAAGTGGACAACTCAGTTCACGTAAGATTATGAGATTAGTGCAGAAGTTGATCAGCCCATCTGATCTCATCCATCCAGATTCCTACCATCCCCATCACATAAAATAATAATAATCCTTGCATTTGATATAGCGCTTTTCACGTCTTCTAGACGTGAAAAGCGGTCACAGAATAGACTGTAAAGTGAATTGACTGTATATTTGTGGGCATCAAGCATCGAAAAAAATTTTTTTAAGAACAAATGTCCCAATGTCCTGGCCTCAACCATCCTTCCTGGTAATCTGTTCCAGTTGCTAATTACCCTTTGGGTAAAGAAATACTTCCAGGTATCTGTCCTGAAATTGCCAGTTACAGGCCAGAACCTGTGCCCATTTGTTCCACTGTCTCATTGCATATGTAAATATTGTTCTGGGTTTACTTTCTTCATCCCAGACTGAAAAACGAACACAACAGGGGAGAGAATTTTTTCAAAGCGTTTCACATGGTTTCTGTTAAGTGTAATAACTATTTGTGGGCGAATGAGGCTGTAATTTGTGTGCAGGAATGTCCCATAAACAGCCGTTAACCGAATAGTGAATTTTATCTGTAGGATTGTTGGCCAGTACACCGGGAGAAACTCCCTTCTCTTTTCAAATAGTGCCATAAAATCTATAACGTCCACCTGAACAAGCAGATGGAACCTTGGTTTAATGTCCTAGTTTTACACAATACCAAGGAATATAATTGCCAAGAGCAATGTTGTCTGTGAGTTCAGTGTTATTAGGATTTGTAGTCATTGCTGTAGTTACAGCGAGTGCATTCCAATTGAACTCAGGGGCCCACTTCCTGTCCTGATGTGTGGCTGGCTGCAATCGAGAATCAGCTCCTTTCCTGAGCTGGTTTCCTCCTCTCACACAATGGGCTGATGCCAATTGAACCCCTTCGCCCTCATTACTGCAGTTGCTCTTTTACGCTCACTACTCTGTCTATCTCTCTCCCTCTTGCTCCTCTATCTGTCTCTCATTTGTGTGTCTCTCTCTCCCCTATTTCCCTCTCTTCCACTTTTCTGTTCATCATTCTCTTTTTGTTTATCTGATTGGTTGTCATCTGTTTTTCTCTCTCGATCCTTTCTCTTTCTCTCTCTCAAACACTATGTCTATCTCTCTACCTCGCTCTGTTTATATCTCTATCACATAAGTTACATTTATACAGTGCCTTTTGCTACTGTCTTCACCTTAGAAGACACTGAAAACCTACCAAGAATAGAGGAGAACCAAGAAGACAATGTTAGCGAGCAACTTGGGGGAATTAATATTAGTAAAGAAATGGTTTTAGGTAAATTGTCAGTTCTTAAAACTGATAAATCTCCTGGACCTGATGGCCTACATCCTAGGGTTTTAAAAGAGGTGGCTACTGAGATAGTGGATGGCTTGTCTTTGATCTTCCAAAATTTTCTGGATTCCGGAACGGTTCCCATTGATTGGAAGATTACAAACGTAACACCACTATTTAAGAAGGGTGGGAGAGAAAAGATGGGGAACTATAGACCAGTTAGTCTGACA